CACGATTGCATTCCCAGTCTAGGCAACAAGTATAATTCAGCTTTTTTTCTCTCTCTTATCGCCCCGTGACACCTTTTCTATTTTGACAAGCTAGCGTAGAAGTGGGTGCCGAGCTGGGTAACGAAACGTTTGTTGGCAGAGGAACTCAGTACAGGTAGTCCTCGTCTTACGACCACTATTGAGCCCAGCAATTTCTGTTGCTAAGCGAGACAGTTGTTAAGTGAGCTTGGCTCCATTTTTACAACTTTTCTTGCCGCAGCTGTTCAGTGAATCACCACAGTTAAGTTAGTAGCAACAGGAATAGCAGTTAGATTTATATACCAATTCACAGTGCTTTCACAGCCCTATTATAAGAGATATACAGAGTCAGCCTCTTGCCCCCAACAATCTGGGTCCTTGTTTTACTGACCTCAAAAGGACGGAAGGCTGAGACAACCTTGAGCCTGATTAACAGTTCAATTAACTGTCCGCAGTCGGCAGAATTAGCCTGCAATACTGCATTCTAACCACTGTACCTCCATAGCTCAAGTAACACGGTTGTTAAGTGAACTTGGCTTCCTCATAGACTTTGCTCCTCCGAAGGTCGCAAAAGCGGATCCCATGACCTCACTGCAATCCTCATAACTACAGTAGTGGCCAAAAGAGCCTTGGTAGTACAGTGGTCTAAGGCACCCTGTTATTAAGCTGGTTATTAAGACCAGCTGCCTGCAATTACTGCAGGTTCGAATCTCGCCAAGGCTCAAGGTCGACTCAGCCTTCCATCCTTTCTAAGGTAGGTAAATTGAGGACCCAGTTTATGGGGGCAATAAGCTGACTTTGTATAAATATACAAAAGTGTGAAGGCTATTGCTTAACGCACTGTAAGTCGCCCTGAGTCTCCGGAGAAGGGCGGCATATAAATCAAATTAAAAAAAAAAAAAATTGTGGAAATCTTTTGGGAAAAGTATATTTTTTAAAACTAGCTAATGACACCACTCTTATTTGGGAGTAGTACCCTAAAATTATATATCAATAGAAAGATAATGTAATCAAGAATGTAATGCAATAACTTCAATGAAGTATTTGCTATTAGAATAGCGGTTACAGTATAAAGAAGAAAAGGAAAACTCATAGAAAAAAAATGAGATCTACAAAAATTATCACCATTTGCGCAAAGATGGAAAACAGCGAAAATCCCTATGGAGGAAGAAATAATTAAGAAAATATTGGATTGTGCAGAAATGAATAGATTGACCTTGATACTTAAAGAAAGAGAGGAATCGAATATTTTCAGATATGTGGGCAATTTTATTATTGGTTGGAGAAAAGATACGTATAGAGTAATATTGTAAAGAAAAGAGGGGGAAAATGTTATAACAAATGAAATGAGAAATATTAAGATATGAGAAATAATTGAGTAGGGTGAAGACACAAAAAATGTACTCAGATGATGCACTGATGGATTGATTATGTATTGTATGTTTGTCTATAAAAATAAAAAACTTTTTTGCCAAAAAAAACGATCCCCATGTCAGTTGATCCTTAGTTGGGTAACCTTTAGCATGAATTACGGCCTTACAACGTCTTCCCTTGGAGTGAACCAAGTCTTTGAGTTCTGCAGCTGTTCTAATGTGAAACCAAGATGGAATGATGGCTTCTATTAACTGGGTTTTATTGCTGGGTTGCTTCTGACTAACAAGTTTCTTTAGTCGGCTCCATAGATTTTCAATTGGGTGAAGGTCTGGGCTATTCCCAGGCCTTTCCAGCACTGGAATATCATTATCTTGAAACTCCCACCCAAAAAAGTGGTGTTATTAGCCATCAAGCCTCAAAAATATACTTTTTTCCAAAAAATTTCCACAATTTTGGCCACTACTGTATGAATCAGTCGCCAGGCGTTTTACACAGTGGGATGTTGCAACGATTGTAAGTGTGAAAAACAGTGATGTAAACTTTTTTTAGTGCCGTGTCTGAACGGTCATTAAATGAACTGTCGTAAGAAGGACGACCTGCCAATCGTTCAGTCAGTCCTGAGCTACAACCATTCTCTACAGTTGTCCGTTTAGGAAGGTAGGAAGGAAGGAAGGAAGGAAGGAAGGAAGGAAGGAAGGAAGGAAGGAAGGAAACTTGCATCAATGCAAGTTTGAAAGACAATGGCGTTTCTTGCTCAATCCAGTAAATAACTTGTTCCTGCGGCATTTTCCTCCCAGGGTTTTTATCCGCTTAGAGCTTGTTGAATGTCAGGTCAATGGCTAATTGACTTTGGAGTTAATTATACCATCCTAGATAGCTGGATGCTAGCTTTCTCCATCCACCACCCACAAGCATGAATTCACAAGGAGTTGTGAGTGCACTGAGTTGCTTAGTGTAGCTATTTGAAAAGTGTTTGTCATCAGAACTCAACAAGGGGTGGAAGCACAGAGGTGTGCATTAGATGTGCATAATCTCTTGATTCCCAGGATTGGACAACGTTGTGGTTTTATTATTTTTATTCGATTTTTTTTAAAAAATCCCTGCTGTTCTATACAGGTAGACCTCAACAACCACAATTGAGCCCAATATTCTTTCTAGCCAGGTTTGTTAAGGGAATCACTGCAGTCGCTAAGCGAGTAACACCATTGTTTAAGGCGAATTTGGCTTCCCTGTTGACTTTGCTCGTCAGAAGGTCGCAAAAGAGGATCCCTTGACCGCGAGACACAGCGACAGTCATAAATATGGGTCAGTTGCCAAGCGTTTGAATTTTGGTCACATCATGAGGATGCTGCAAAGGTCCTAACTTGTGAAAAACTGTCATAAGTCACATTTTTCAGTGGCCATTGAATGGTCGCTAAATGAACTATTGTTAGGCGAGGACTACTTGCAGTTTGGTCAACTCAAGGTGGCAAAAATACCTTGTACAGGTAAAAGCAACAGCACTTAGACTTACAGCTAGTCCTTGACTTACAACTGTTCGTTTAGTGACTCTTCAAAGTTACGATGACACTAAAAAATATGACTTACGACAGTTTTTCACAGTTACAACCTTCGAAGGATGCCCATGATCATGCGATGAACATTCAGGTGTTTGACAAGTGACTCATATTTATGACGGTCACTGTGTCCCAGGCTCACGTGATCCCCTTTTGCAACCTTCTGACAAGGAAAGTCAAGGGGGCAGCCAGATTCACTTAACAACCAGGTTACTCACTTATCGACTGCAGTCATTCACTTAAACAACTATGGCAAGAAAGTCGTCAAATGGGGCAAAACTCACTTAACAAATGTCTCAATAAAAAATTTGGACTCAATTGTGGTCATAAGTTGAGGATTACCTGTATATATCTTGCCCCCCAACAATCTGGGTCCTTGATTTACAACCATTCTTTTAGTGACCATTCAAAGTTACGATGGCACTGAAAAACTGACTTATGACCATTTTTCACCCTTACAACTGTTGCAGCATCCCTACTGTCACATATTCAAAATTCGGGCTCTTGGCAACTGGCATGTACTTACGACGGTTGCAATGTCCCCCCAGGGTCACGTGATCCCCTTTTGCGACCTTCCCATTCGGCTTCCGAGAACAAGGTCAATGGGGGAAGCCAGATTCACTTAATGACTGTTAATAACTCTAGTGATTCGCTTAACAACTGTGATTTAAAAAAAAAAAAGTGGTACAATGGGAAAGAAAGTCATTTAACAACCCATCTTGCTTAGCAATGGAAATGTGGGGCTCGATTGCAGTCGTAAATCGATTTTTTAAAGAAATATTCTGATAGATAGATAGATAGATAGATAGATAGATAGATAGATAGATAGATAGATAGATGATAGATAAATACCATGTTTCCCCAAAAATAAGACCCTGTCTTATATTTTTTTGGACCCCGAAATAAGCGCTTGACCTTATTTTTGGGGAGGTCTTATTATTTTGGGGTGCATGGAGCAAGATGGGGCTCCTCTTGCCATCTTACCTGATTTCCAGCTCTGCCTCCCTAACCCTAACCAGAGGAAATGGCGGGGACCGACTGCGCATGCTTAATATTTTTTATTTTGGGGGGGAGGTCTTATATCTTGGGAGGTATTATTTTCAGGGAAACGCAGGAGAAAGAGAGAGAGAGAGAGAGAGAGAGAGAGAGAGAGAGAGAGAGAGAGTCAACTTGCAAAGCTTTCAAGTTGCCATGAGCAGGAGGGAGGGAGAACTGATAGAGCTGATTGATTTCCCTAACTGAAGCTACATTCCATACATTCTTCCTGACCGCAATCAGTAGGAGGGTGTTGCATTTCACAGCCAGCAAAGTGGTTAATTGGAGAATGTGATTTATGACATGGCCAGGGAGGAGGGGAGAGACAGGGAACATAAATCTACATGGGATTAGTTCTAACTACATCCAAATATTGCCAGAATGGTGCTCCTAATAAATGACTATTTCTTTTGAAGTTTGGCTCATGGCACATGAATTAATTAGGGCATCTTTCGGAAACTTCACTGATAGGACATAGGATAGATACAAAAGTACTCACTTTTGTTGCCAACAATCTAGACATTAATGGCTGTGCGTTATTTTGAGGGGACAGCACATTTACACTGTGATACAAGCTGTATACTCACTACTTCACATTGTAGCCAAGTGTCATATCTTCAGTGTTGTCACATGAAAAGGTATACTTAAATATTTACAAAATGTGAGGGGATGTACTCACTTCTGTGACATACTGTGTGTGTGTGTGTGTGTGTGTATACATGTCTTTGTGTGTATATATATACACATATACATACACTGCTTAGAGGAATGTAATTCTTTTGACTGTTGGCCAATGTTCATAAAATTGCTTTTAAAAATGACTGCACCAGTTTCTTTTAATACTGGGGAATGGGGAAGAAGAACCATTCATTTCCCTTATTGTAAAGGAAACTGTTTTGTTGTCAAAGATAAGTGAAAAATACAGTTTTCCGCTCAGAAATGTCCTTTTTCTTTCTTCCTTCTTCAAATCATCCAAAGTATTGCTCATGCCTTGTTGCTTTCGTTTCGTTTCTGCAGGGAACACCGTTAGCAACTTGATTTTCATTTTCCCTCCCATCTATGGTGCAATTCAGAGTTACAAAGATGGCCTTGAGAAACGCTACATAATGGCTTACTTGTGTGTCACAGGTACGTGAGCTTCTCTTCCATTCTATGACGTGGTCCGACCGAATGCTTTTTCTCCGACTCCAGGGGTCTCTTTAGTTTGAAAGTCCAGCGTGTGTGCCCACATGAAATATAGCTGGAATAGTGTGGAGTTGTTAAACTTTCAGCCCTGAGAAATAATGTGAGCTGTTCTAAGGAAATTTTTCATCCAACAGCTTTTTTTCCAAATCTGTTTAGAATTTCATGACATTTTTGTCTGTCTCTATCTATCTATCTATCTATCTATCTATCTATCTATCTATCTATCTATCTATCTATCTATCTATCTATCTATCTATCTATCTATCTATCTATCTATCTATCCTGTCTCTGTGTGTGCCTCTCTGTATATCTATCTGCCTATTTATTTATCTATCTATCTATCTATCTATCTATCTATCTATCTATCTATCTATCTATCATCATCTCTCTCTCTCTCTCTCTCTCTCTGTCTCTCTCTATCTATCTATCTATCTATCTACCCTGTTTCCCCCAGAATAAGACATCCCCTGATAATAAGCCCAATTGGGCTTTTGAGCGCATGGCAATAAGGCCAAGAGCTTATTTCAGGGTTCAAAAAAATATAAGACAGGGTCTTATTTTCGGGGAAACACGGTATTTATCTTCCATCTGTCTGTGTGTGTCTCTATGTATATCTATCTATCTGCCTATCTCTCCGTCCATCCGTCCATCCATCCATCCATCCATCCATCCATCCATCCATCCATCCATCTCATCTGCCTTCCTGTTTTGTACATATCTCTGTCTTTCTGCCTGTCTCTCCCTCCGTCCCTCCCTCCCTCCATCTTTAAACATTTTTACTTGTACCATAAAACAGTACAGGTAGTCCTTGACTTACAACAGTTTGTTTAATGACCATTCTACATGCTTCTAGGACTTGTTTAGAAATTTTATGCGACCTCCGGTGCCGTTACAACAGCATTGGGGGAAAAAAAGCTACTTTAAGACCATTTTTCACAGTTACAACCGTTGCAGCATCCCCATGGACACGCGATCAAAATTCGGACGCTTGACAACTGACTCGTATTTACGACGGTTGCAGCGTCCCAAGGTCACGTGATCTCCTTTTTGCGAGCAAAGTCAGTGGGGAAGCCAGATTCACTTAACAACCCTGTTACTAGCTTAACTGCAGGGATTCACTTAACAAACGTGGCCAGAAAAGCCGTAAAATGGGGGGCAAAACTCACTTAAACCAATGTTCTCGCTTAGCAACATAAATTTGGGGCTCAGTTGTGGCCGTGTGTCAAGGACTACCTGTACACAGTTAACCAGCCCATCACCACCTGTTCAAAGAAGAGAGACCAAGTGAGTTTCGTTCAGCATCCAGGGTGTGATGAGCCCAAAATTGCAGAGACTTGCCAGGTTGCCACATAGAAACTCTTCCGGCTGTGTTGAGGCATCATGCAGATTTGACAGCCTATCAAATGTCTCCTGAACGGGGAGGCATCCGAGGCATTGAAACCAGACAGAGGCCTAAGGCAACCACATCATTGCCAGCTCCTCACATTTTTAAGTAGCTCAGACCATCCTGAGGCTTGCCGCCTGTCCAGGTACTTGAAAAAAGGGTAGCCCAAATACCTCTGAACCGAGGCACAGACTGCTGACTTACCACAGTCCATTTAGTGACCGTTCAAAGTTATAACGGCACGGAAAAAAGTGGCTTAGGCCCATTGTTCCACACTTACGACCGTTGCAGCATCCCCATGGTTGCTCACGGGATTTACATTCAGATGCTTGACAACTGGTTCTTATTTATGACGGGTGCAGAGTTCCCCGGGGTGTGTGTGTCACGTGATCCCATTTAGTGGCATTCTGACACGCAGAGTCAATGGGGGGGGCAGATTCACTTAACAACTGTTTGACTAACTTAACAACCGCAGCGATCCCTTAGCAACGGTGGCAAGAAAGGTCCTAAAGTGGGACCAAACTCCCTCAACACATGTCTCGCTTAACAACGGAAACTTTGGGCTCAGTTGTGGTCGTAAGTCGAGGACCACCTGTACACTCCAGGACTCCAGGCCCCATAAATCAGCCTACAGTTCTTCTTCTTCTACTTATGAGGTCATAAGCGTGAAAACCGGTTATAACTCACTTTTTTCTGCGCTGTTGTTAACTTTGAACGGTTTAAATTGAGGATTACCTATCCCGTTTCCCCAAAAATAAGACCCAACTGGAAAATAAGCCCTAGCATGATTTTTCAGGATGCTCGTAATATAAGCCCCTACCCCCAAAATAAGCCCCAGTTAAGATTGTCAGCCAGACGGATGCATTTAGTACCATATTTTCCCCAAAATAAGACCTAACCAGAAAATAAATCCTAGCATGATACTCGTAATATAAGCCCTAGCCCCAAAATAAGCTCCAGTTAAGATTGTCAGCCACATGGATGCATTTAGTACCATATTTTCCCCAAAATAAGACCTAACCAGAAAATAAATCCTAGCATGATACTCGTAATATAAGCCCTACCCCCAAAATAAGCCCCAGTTAAGATTGTCAGCCAGATGGATGCATTTAGTACCATATTTTCCCCAAAATAAGACCTAACCAGAAAATAAATCCTAGCATGATACTCGTAATATAAGCCCTACCCCCAAAATAAGCCCCAGTTAAGATTGTCAGCCACATGGATGCATTTAGTACCATATTTTCCCCAAAATAAGACCTAACCAGAAAATAAGCCCTAATGCGTCTTTTGGAGCAAAAATTAATATAAGACCCGGTCTTATTTTCGGGGAAACATGGTACATACATCTGTTTACTGCTTGCAAGCCCCCCAGAGAAGCCTTATCGTTGAACAGGGGTGGCATGTAAATTTTATAATAAATAAATCAGAAAAAAGATAGGTGTCGATGTATCAAAAGTAGGACTGGTAGAAAGAAGCAATTCTGTCTCTACTTGGAATTCTTCTCACAATCCTTTCTCCTTTGGATTTCAGCTGTGGGCCTGGGCTCCTGGTGCTTCCACATGACTCTGAAGTATGAAATGCAGGTTAGTAGCCCTTGGGAAAAGTGTGCACGTTTTGTGTCCCTTGCAAAGTGACACGCCTGGATCCGTTGTGCTTTCCTGGTTGATCGGTAGGGGTGCTGAGAGTGTATTTATAGTGTGTTTTGCTGTGGATTAGGTGCTCTCATTTTCAGCTCCTAGTGACCAAATACGCTAGTAACAACCATTCTGGGGATAGTTAAAATACTTTATCCAGTTAGCCAGTGGAACAACTTGTCTCCAGAAGTTGTGGGTGCTTCATCCCTGGAGGTTTTCAAGAAGAGATTGGACAGCCAACTGTCTGAAATGTTATAGGTTCTCCTGCTTGAGCACAGGGTTGGACTAGAAGACCTCCAAGGTCCCTTCCGACTCTCTTATTCTGTTGTTCTGTTATAATTGTGCAAAACAGCAGGTTTGTTTTTTTTGAAAGCTAGGATTAGCCACAAATAGGCCTCACTTCAAGAACCCCAAGGAAATGAGCTGTGAGAAAATTTCCAGTTTGATTCCCTGCTTTGCCAAAAACCCATGAGGTCACTGTTTCAACCTCTGCAGTTATTAAGTGAATCACATGGTCGTTAAATAAATCCTCCTTACCCCATTCAGTCTGCTGTCAGAAGCCGGCTAGGAAGGTCACAGATGGCAATCCCATGACCCCCGGCATGCCACAACCTTCATAACTACATGCCAAGGGCTTGAATTTTGATCACATGGCCACGGAGATGGGTGCAACAGCCATAAATGTGAGGAACGGTCATTAGTCACTTTTTCCAGCGCCGTGGTTAACTTCGGTTAATAAACGTACGGTTGTAAGTTGAAGCTGCAGTAGAGAATGGCAAGAACGTATAGACAAATGGTTGTGGTGTTGTTGCCCCCACAGTGGTTACACCATTGTCCCAACACTGCATGCAATCCGAACTGCTTACACACACACACACACACACACACACAAACATACAGCCAAGTGCCGAATCTTAGTGACACCATTGCCAAAAGTCAGTGGCAGAGCTGCTCACAATTCTAAGGGAGAGCACACAACGGTTGTGGTGAAATAGCTTAACTGAATTAAAAAATAATTCCCTTACACAACCACCACCCCCAATTTAAAGGATGGAAAACTTTGGGTCCGTTTCCTTTGCATTTTCTTCTCCGTTGCAGTTCTTAGCTCCCCTCCACCACAAAAAAAGAGAAAAAATATTAATGCTGACCCCTTTTCATTCAAAGTTGCCCTGCTCTGACTTTGTGCATTTTGACTTGGGGCCGCCATCTTTCTTTGAGTCTTTTCTGTAAGCATCAATAATCTTTTTTCCCCCTGCTTTTTGCAGCTATTGGACGAGCTGCCCATGATCTACAGTTGTTGCGTTTTTGTCTACTGCTTGTAAGTATCTGTCATCAGTTTCTCTTTCATAACTGATTAACAGTTAAGAGTTCCTCGCAGGCTTAACATTTATCTCACTCACGTAGACGTGGGCGCTGAAATAGCTATTGGAGATACAGTAGTGAATATGCAGGGAAGGACTAGAACTCTCCATCTCCTGGTACTTGGCCCAGTCACCCAACCAGCTTTCATGGCTAAGGCAGAACTAGAACTCACCATCTCACCATCTCCTGGTGGTTGGCTCAAAGTCACCCAGCCAGCTCTCATAACTATGTTAGCTCTAGAAATCATCACTTTCTGGTGATTGACTCAATCAATCAAGTTTTATTGCTTAAAGCAGCACTAGAACTCACTGTCTCCTGGTGATTGGCCCAAAGGCACCCAGCTGGCTTTCATGCCTAAGGCGGGACTAGAACTCACCGTCTCCTGGTGATTGGCCCAAAGTCACCCAGCTGCCTTTCATGACTAAGGCGGGACTAGAACTCACCGTCTCCTGGTGATTGGCCCAAAGTCACCCAGCTGCCTTTCATGACTAAGGCGGGACTAGAACTCACCGTCTCCTGGTGATTGGCCCAAAGTCAGCCAGCTGGCTTTCATGGCTAAGGCGGGACTAGAACTCACCGTCTCCTAGTGATTGACCCAAAGTCACCCAGCTGGCTTTCATGCCTAAGGCGGGACTAGAACTCACTGTCTCCTGGTGATTGGCCCAAAGGCACCCAGCTGCCTTTCATGACTAAGGCGGGACTAGAACTCACCGTCTCCTGGTGATTGGCCCAAAGTCACCCAGCTGCCTTTCATGCCTAAGGCGGGACTAGAACTCACCGTCTCCTGGTGATTGGCCCAAAGGCACCCAGCTGGCTTTCATGGCTAAGGCAGGACTAGAACTCACAGTCTCCTGGTGATTGGCCCAAAGGCATCCAGCTGCCTTTCATGACTAAGGCGGGACTAGAACTCACCGTCTCCTGGTGATTGGCCCAAAGTCACCCAGCTGGCTTTCATGCCTAAGGCGGGACTAGAACTCACAGTCTCCTGGTGATTGGCCCAAAGTCACCCAGCTGGCTTTCATGCCTAAGGCGGGACTAGAACTCACCGTCTCCTGGTGATTGGCCCAAAGTCACCCAGCTGGCTTTCATGCCTAAGGCGGGACTAGAACTCACCGTCTCCTGGTGATTGGCCCAAAGTCACCCAGTTGCCTTTCATGCCATCTCACCATCTCCTGATGGTTGGCTCAGAGCTACCCAGCCAGCTTTCATGGCAGGATTTTCATGGAACTACAACTCACCGTCACCTAGTGATTCATTCAAAGTCACCCAGCCGGCTTTCATAGCTATGGTAGGACTATCTCCGGGCGATTGACTCAAAGACATCCAGCTGGCTTTCATGCCTAAGTTGGCACTAGAACATGCCAACTCCTGGGCATTGGCCCAAAGTCATCCAGCCAGCTTTCATGCCTAAGGTGGGACTAGAATTTACCCTCTCCTGGTTTCTAGCCTGGTGCCTAGTTTTCGGCACAGCGGTGGGGATTCTTAGAAACTACTATTGTCTGTAACTTGTATGTCAGTAAAGAAATCAGATTCTGCGCACAAAACGTATTTTTCGCTTGGTTTTTTTTTTTTTTAATAATTTTTAGCCTTGACATTTTTAAAGATTGAATTTCCCTGCAAAGAGAAGTGGCTATAGCGGATTGAATGCTGATATTAGATGGTAGAAAATGAGATGGGATGAGAGAAAAATAAGCATCCATGTTCAACATCATGTATTTTTTTCCCAGTCACTCTCAAACAGATGCAATCTTTTTTCCTTAAACCTGTCGAATCAACTCCCCTCCCCCAAATAAGATGATTAAGAGTTTCTTGGGTACTAAAATTATCAAAACGTTATTAAAATTGATGCTCTTGTGACAATTCGATGGAGCTGCGAAGCCCATAATGTGCTTTGAACGTTTGATTTTTCCCATTTTTCTTTCTCTAATCTTCTCTAATCTCTAAAATGAACGTATCTTTTCTTTTTATGTTCACTGAGAGCATATGCACCAAGACAAATTCCTTGTGTGTCCAATCAAACTTGGCCAATAAAAAATTCTATTCTTTGTACAAGAACCACCATGGTCTCCTTTTATAATACTGATTAACACGCAGGAGGGAGAATTTCCTCATAAGGTACCGCTTTTGCTAATGTGAAACAACTTTGTTCTTGGTATATCCCACGCCTCTTGCTTTATTATACATGGATCTAATTTTAGAGAAGGGGGAAAAAGAAACACAAAAAAATTCTTTTCTTATGAGTAGAAAGAGTATTCTTTGAAGAATGACTAAAACAGGGTATGCCTCTGATCAAAACAAGTTTGACAGGTTTGCCAAAGCTGAAAACAAAACGGAAACACGGGAATAAATTCAGATTTCCCTTCATTTGGAGAAAGATATAACCTGGTGTTTTTTTTCCCCCCCGCTCCCATGTTACCGTGGCTTTGAAAATGATCCGCTTTTCTGCAGAATCATAAAACGAAGTGGGATCTCAGCCACTTCCCACAAGCTTGACTCTGCCTTTTAGTCTTTCGTAATTTTAATCGGTTTTTATATGCCTACGTTTTATGATAATGTAAGCCTCCCAGAGCCACTTCAAACCACCAGATGGGCGGCCTATAAATTTAATGAGGAAAAATAATAATAATAATAATAATTCAGCATCGGCAGAAACTTACAAATGAGATCCTTTTACCATTCAGATCCTACACTCCATGGAGAATTTAAAACTGCACAAACGGGTTTTGTTTGCTCCAGGTTTCCCAAAAGAACAGGACAAATTGCATGCTAAGGATTTATTTTGCCTTCCTTTTGCATCCTTAATCTTTCTCCTTCGTGTTTGTTTTAGGTACGAATGCTTCAAGTACAAGAAAACAATCAACTACCCTCTTCTCTTTCTACTACTAGCCTACAGCATTGGCGTCAGCATAGTAAGCGACACTTGTCTTACCCGAAACTGTTTTTATAAGGAGGTGGGGTACTTGCAAACCGTGAACTCACCCACTGCGTTCCTTTCCCTTCTGCCTTTATTTATTTATTTTATTTATTTATTTAAATTTGTATACCGCCCTTCTCCCGAAGGACTCAGGGTGGTGAACAGCCGAAATTAAGATACATATTATAATATAAAAGTTAAAAATAACTAAAATAAATTAAATCGATCGGCCTCCCAATTTAAAACCCCACATCTATACAATTTAAAATACTAACCCATAAGACCTTTTAGGCTAGGCCGGCTTTCAGGTAGTCCTCGGCTTAACGACCACAATTGGGCCCAAAATATCCATTGCTAAGTTAGTCAAGTTGTTAAGTGAGTTAGGCCCCATTTCGCGAGCTTTCTTCCCGCAGTTCTTAAGCGAATCGCAATGGCCGTTAAGTTAGGAACACGGTTGTTGTATAAATATTTTTTACTGTTTTATATCACAAGTTTCCATTTCTATATTGAACAGTGTTTTCTAGGTGTCCAAAGTGTTAAAATATAAGTATCATAATCATTATTTTTATTCCACCAGGCGGGCCTGGCCTAACTTTCTCCCTCTTTTTAAATAATTTTTAATATTTTTTAATATTTTTAATATTTAAAGTTTAATTTGTTTTAAATTGATTGGGGTTTTTTAATCTGTTTGGGCCAAACTATTTAATCCGATTTTATTTCTGCTTTTTAAATTTTGTATGTATGTATTCTATTGTTGGCTGTTCACCGCCCTGAGTCCTTCGGGAGTAGGGCGGTATAGAAATATAATAAAATAAATAAATAAATAAATTATAATCACGTACATATAAACATATATGCGATAATACCAATCGTTATTGAAAAATATACTTATCTTCCATTATGGTATCAATTATATAACCATCAAAATCTTCACTCATCAGTTTTTCTTTCTCATGTAGTTTATATTTCACATAAATCCACTCATCTAACCTCTCTAACCATTTGTAGAATAGTTCCCATGTTATAAAATATTCCGAATCTTCTTTTTCTTTGATTTTTAGCGTTAACCTATCCATTTCTGCACATTCCAGATTTTTTTTTGATTATATTATCATCTGTAGGGGTTTCTTCATTTTCCCAGTATTGTGCGTATGCAATCCTGGCTGCTGGGGAACACGGTTGTTTAAGGGAATTTGGCTTCCCTGCTGACTTTGCTTGTCAGAAAGTCACAAAAAGCGAGATCACATGACCCAGGGGACACTGCAGCCGTCATAAATGCGAAGCATCTGCCAAGCGTCCGAATTTTGATCAGGTGTCCATGGGGATGCTGCAGTGGCCATGTGAAAAATGGCCATAAGTCCCTTTTCTTCAGTGCCGTCGTAACTTCAAACGGTCACTAAACGAATGGTGGCTCCACCCCGCCGTACTGTGGTATGGAAAAGCATTTTATTTTATTTTTTTGTTTGATTGATTGCAGCCATGGTGAATTCTCCCAAACGAGAAACATCTGTAGCTTTGTTTCTCAACCTTTTCCACTTTAAACTGGGTGGACTTCAACTCCCAGAATTCCCTAGCCAGCCATGTTAGGCTGGAGAATTCTGGGAGTTGAAGTCCACCCAGTTAAAAAGTTGCAGAGGTTGAAGAAAAACTATTTGTGGTCTGTAGGAGGGGGAAGCCTAACCTCACAAAAGCTGGGTTTGCTGGTCGCTTCCATCCCACCCTTCTCAGACATTTTCCTGATCAACTGGTTTTGCTTTCAGCACATTTAACTAACATTAAAGATTTAGCAGCTGCCTTCACAGAGCTTGTCTAATTGGAACCGTGATTAATTTGCGGTGTGTGTGTATGTGTGTGTGGCTTAATGGGTCAGGCTAACTCAGCCTGTTCAGTTAATGACTAATTTGTTCAACTTTCGGGTAAGACCAGAAAATGAATGACTCAGTAAAATAGCATAGCATCAACCTGGCCAGTGAATGTCTAGGTATCATCCTAGCAAATAAAATGTGGCCCAAGTAATGCAGAAGGACACGGTTGAACCTCTCTGTAGCTCGGTGCCCTCCAAAGCAATATTTCTCAACCTTGAAGGTATATGGACTTCAACTCCCAGAATTCCCCTGCCAGCCTGGAGTTCATTGGTCTAAGCCAGGGGGTGTCAAAGTGGCGGCCTGTGTGCCGGCTGTGTCACACGCAGGCCACACCCACCCCAGCTCCACAAAGGGGGGGAAAAAATGCCGTGAAATGTCATGGAATGGCAACGGGACACCGCGAGTTTGACCCCCGGGGTCTAAGCACTGTTCTCAACCGTAGCAATTTGAAGACATATGGACTTCAGCTCCCAGAATTCCCCAGCCAGCATGGAGCTTATTGGTCTTAAGGCGGTAGCAGCGTGAAGATATATGGACTTCAATTCCCAGAATTCCCCAAGGTTGAGAAACATTGTCCTAAGGCCGTGATGGCGAATATATGGCGCGTGTGCCACAGGCCTCTCTGTGGGCATGCGAGTTGTCATGCCACTTCAGCTTTGCCACGCATGTGCACACGCTTCCCACCAGCCAGGTAGTCGTCAGGTCTCTGCCACGTATGCTCGGGGGAGGCACGCATACTTGGGGGTTGGGACACGGGGGGTCGCCGGGGCAGGTTGCGCGCGAAGGGCGTGCGGTCACGCGGGATGCTGCAAAGGTCGTAACTGGGGAAAATGGTCACAAGTCCCTGTTTTCAGTGCCATTGTAACTTTGAACGGTCACTAAATGAACTGTTTTAAGTCGAGGACTACCTGTCCTCACTACTGCTACTCGCTACTGTAATCAAATCTATTCATCTCGCTTCTGGTCATCCTCTTCTTTTTCTTTCCAACTTTCCCAGCATTATAGACTTCTCCAGAGAATTAGATCTTCACACAATTTGTCCAAAATATGATAATCTGAGCTTGAGTGGTGCTTTGTTCTAGTATCGGTTACTTTATTATTCACTGTATGCAGTTGCTCATTTACAAAAGGCACTCCAAAGTTCAAAAGCACCAACACTCCTTCTCCTTCGGAGCCCAACTTTGAAAACTCTTGCTTGCAGAATTCTTTTTTTTTAAAAAAAAACATATAATTTTATTGAAAATTTTAAACAGGAGGATAAGACTAACGCTAAACGAAATAGAATGACAAAGGAAAAAAGGAAAGAGAGAAAAGAGAAAAACTAAAAGTGACAAAAAGGAAAAGATTAGCGGAAAAATAGAAAAGGAAAAAAGTTACGAAGAAGTGACTTCTGATCTTCACAGCAGCAATAAATACAATTATTATCTCTCTGTCTAAAGTTACATCATGATTCTCTTCTTTCCGTATTCCACCTTATCCAATTATCAAAAGCATTAAAAGTTGTTTTTTTTTAACTAGGCAAAGAGACCATAAAAGGTTTCCAGTCACCAGAAACACAGGCGTTGTCTTCTCTCTAATCACACAAATCAATTTGAACTTTTCAGCAAATTCTGCCCCTTCACCAACCATTCCTTTGTTGGGGGTATTGCCATATACCCGTGATGGTGAACATATGACACGCGTGCCACAGGTGGCACGTGTAGCCATATCGGTGATTGGCCAGCTGATTTTTGGGCCTTCTAGGCCCACCAGAAGTATCTCTGAATCCAGAGGACCTCAGGGGTGGTGGCAGGGAAGGCCCATTTCTCTCTCCCCCCAGCCTCCAGAGCCTTTCTAGGAGTCGGGAGGGTGAAAACGGTCCCCCCCCCCGCAGAGGCCCTCCAGAGGCCGGAAAGAAGCCCGTTTGCCAACCTCCGAAGTTTCCGGCTTCCAGGGTAGGGGTTGGGGAAGGCCGTTTTCTCCCTCCCCAGACTCCTAGAAAGGCTCTGGAGGTTGGGGACAGCAAAAAAGGGGACTTCCGGTCCCACCGGAAGTTGGCAAACATGTCGTTTTCGGCCTCCGGGGGGGGGGTAGGCCATTTCCGTCCTCCCCAGACTCCTAGGAAGGCTCTAGAGGCTGGTGAGAGCAAAAAACGGGCCTCGTGTGCCAGGAACGTGGGGAGGGCGGGCTCACGTGCGCATGCACGGGTGCAGGGCACATAGAATTATGGGTGTGGGCACGCGGGCCCGCCACACACACACACACACACACACACACACACACCGCTCCTGGCACGCGATGGCAAAAAGGTTAGCCATCCCTGGCATATACCTATCCATCTTTGTGCGCCAAATAATATTGCTGCCGTTTGTCCTATTTGAAAACAACCATGACTTTCCCCCAATTGTTTATCCATCAGTCCCAAGCAGTTGATAATGTCTTGTGTTTGCTTTTTTTCCAGGTATACCTAAACTGGAAACAGCCCGTGTTCCATCAGGTAATTGCTTCTTTCTTTCTGTTTCAACTTAAGAAATGTTATTGACTTGTCCGTTTCTTTAAAAAAAAAAAAATCCCCTCGCCTGTTGAACGTGGATATGTCAGACCTGAAAGCGAAGATCCACCCATGAAGATCCACACAAAACTGATTTATTGCTAAAAGTCTATGCGTAGGAATCTTATCAACTACCAGTCAGAGCACCTCCTAAGACTTAAATAAGGGTCAGCTGAATTCAAAGGAAGTCGGACTTCGTTCTCTTGTGACTCCCTCCCCCCCAATAAAGCTACTTACCACCCGGTCCCAGAATTATGGCCCTGCGGTTGTTCACCTTTGTGACTGATCGTAGGGAAGCCGCAGTACCTCCCCAGCTATCTTCTCCCCATTCCCTTTCCCTGCAGGGGCAAGGGCCTTCTTCCTATCCCACCAGCAGGGGTGGGATTCAGCCGGTTCGGGCGAATCGGTAGTTCCGACAATCAGCAGGCCCCACCCACCCGCACCCGCCCTATCCTGTCCTATATGTACTCCTTTCTGGCTCAGCTGATTGGCACAACACAGCTGATTCTACTTACCGGGGCTGCCTTAGAAGGTAAGCAGCTGAGCTTCAAATTGCTGTATTCTGAACGCTGCACGCAAGCGTGTTAAGCACACGCTCACGGAACTGTTAAACCGGTTGCAGCCCACCAGGTCCCATTCTGCTTTCCTAATGCAGGAAATTCCTTGGTCAATATGGCTATATTTCAATTCCTTGAAGGTTTTCTAGTCCAACCCTTTGCTCAAACAGGAGACCCTATCCCATCCCAGACAAGTAACTGTCAAAGTCTCTCTTTAAAAACTCAAGTGATGGAGCACCCACAACTTCTGGTGGCAAGTTGTTCCACTGGTTAATTGTTCTCCCTGTCAGGAAGTTTCTCCTTAATTCCAGGTTGCCTCTCTCCTTGATTATATTCCATCCGTTGCTTCTTATCCTGCTGTCAGCACTTCACTCTAGTGCTGACATAAGAAGGAGGAGCGGAGGCGTCTGGAAAGGGACGTTTGACTTTTCACCTACTTATTTTCCCTGGAGATAATATCCCCTAGGAGATGGGATGGGAGGGGGGAAATTCCTTTGAGCTGGAGCAGTAGATTAGGGGTAGAGTGACTTGGAAGATGGCCAATGAGTGCAGGGGAGTGGGGAATGGAAAGGGAGGGTTTTGGGTCTGGAAGTCAGTGTTGGCTGCGAATGAGTCGGAGTTAGAATGTCGTGCTTAATAAATGGGAGTTTTTCTTCAAAGACTTTGTTTGAAATGCAATTTATTTGAGACGACCTCGAAACTTGACACCTGCCTTCAGGTGCTTTGGAGAATAGCTTGACTCCCTCTTCTTTGGGGCAGCCCCTCAGATATTGGAAGACTGATGTCACGTCACCCCTAGTCCTTCTTTTCACTAGATTAGCCGTGCCCGATTCCTGCAAACGTTCTTCATATGTTTTAGCCTCCAGTACCCCAAGTAATAGGAGACAAAAAAAATAATAATAGGAGAAAAATACGTAGTGGCCATTTTTATTTATTTTTTTGGGCCTTGAGATGGAAAAATATGAAACCCGAATAGCCGGCTCCTTTTTCCAACAGCAGGCATGACGATACTATCATTTTAAACGCAGTAAACTTTATGCTTGCTTTTGAAATCCTTGCAGCATCCTTCAGTTGCATTGAATTTCATGTCCAAGGGAGCGTGGATTGTGCCTTGGGGGCCGTGTGGGAGAAAGAAGATTTCCATATATAATATTTTTTTTTGCCTTGGATTTCTTAAACCCCAAGACAACCGAGTGTCTAGAATTCCCCCGTTCCCCTGTTTTGTTTTCTTTCCCCACCTATTTGCCTGTCACTCAACCGCCTTACTTTTCTCTTATTTCTGAATAAATCGCTTTGCATGGGCGGGTAAAGGACGGGCAAACTTGTCTTTCGGCAGAATTAAAATCGGATGGGAGTTCCACGGTGCCACGCCCATATGAGCAAGTCCCCGGCAGTCTGGAATCCACTTCACCAAACAAAACATGGCACTGTAGAGATAATTTGCATGATTTAAGAGCAATTAAACTTTGCCCTCCCAGCGTTAGTTATTCTAGATATTGTCTTTGGAGTAAGCACAATATAAATAACCCCCAGGAAGTCGGGGGCCAAAATAACCCTCTTTAATTATCAGCAACCTCTTTTGCAACGGTTGCATTCTGACGTGGCTGTACTCTGTCATTATGTTACTGAGCCTTTTTGCCTTTGTTGGCTCACGATGGGAGTTGTAATCCAGCAGGTTTAAGGAGGGCACTTTGCCACGTAAACAGAGGGAAGGCTGTATGTCTCTTCTAAAGCCCTATGGGGTACTCCTTACACTTACAGGACTTTATACGGCCACAATTGAGCCCCGAATTGTACGTTGTTAAGTGAGTTGGGCCCCATTTTACGGCTTTCCTTGCCACCGTTGTTAAGCAAACCGCTGCCGTTGTTAAGTTAGGAACACGGTTGTTAAACGAATCTGGCTTCCCCATTGACTTTGCTTGTCAGAAGATCACGTGACTGCGGGGACACTGCGACCGTCGTAAATACGAGCCACTTGCCAAGCGTCCGGATTTTTTTTTGATCACGTGACCATGGGGGATGCTGCGACAGTAAGTGTGAAAAATGGTCGTAAGTCACTTCTTTCAAATACAGATTTTTCCCCCTTTTTTCCCCTCCTCCTCCCTAACCCCCCCTCACCCTCCCCACCCCCCATGGCTTCTCCAAAAATAAAATCCAGATTGATATCAAATTATATAATACTTTACCATCCTTTTACACCCCCCCCACATGCTAACCATTTCTTTCTAACATTGTTATTATATCCCCCCTATACTATACATTTCAAAGCAACCTTCAGCTATAAATATTTATTTATATAATAAATCCTAATTTGACATTTACTCAACTCATAATCTACCCATTTCCTCCCCCATACATATATCTCCTAATTCAAATCTTTTACGTATTTTTATATCTAAACATAACATCCCTTTTCCTAAACTAAACAATCAGTAACCTAACCCATCTCCACCCATTTTCCTACAGGTCTACCATACATATTTTTAATATCTTTGTTCTTTTGCCCACACCACACAATTAAAAAATATTTCCATATATGAATAAAATCCTCAAATGACTTTAAATTTATAATCCAAAAAACCTCGGGTGGTTTTTTATATACGAAAATACTTACTATTGATGGGAGCAGATGGTAATGGAAGATATTGAATATGCTGTTGGAAGCTGAACCTGATGTTACCCTAACATGGGCGATGGAATTAATAATCTAGTTGAAAGACGTTACAGAAGACACTATATGGATTATAAATTTAAAGTCATTTGAGGATTTTATTCATGTAAGTCACTTCTTTCAATGCTGTTCTAACTTCGAAGAGTCACTAAACGAACGGTTGTAAGTGGAGAACTCCCTGCACTAGATTTTCATTTATGCCCTTTTGGCCACAAGAAGCTGCCGAAGGATTCAGGCCGCCAGAATAGAGCCATAGAGATAGTCCTCGACTTACGTACATTCACTTAGTGACCGTTTGAAGTTAACAACAGCACTGGAAAAAAATGGCTTAACGACCGTTTCTTCCCCGCTGATGACCATTGCAGCGTCCCCGTGGTCACGTGTCCAAAATTCGGACACTTAGCCACTGGCTCCTGTTTATGTCGTGTCCTGGGCTCACGTGATTCCCCTTTTGCAACCTTCTGACAAGCTAAAAACATGTTTCACACCACTCGGTTTATCTCGATTTTATTTTATTTTTAGGCTTTGCATTTCTAACCTAAACCCATCGGGATCGTTTCTGTTTCAGCCTCATTCAGGAATTTCGTTCAACATTTGAAAATGGAATGAAATTTTCATTCAAAAATGCGGATGAGAAGTATGGATTAAAAAAAATAACCCAGGAAGTGTTCATCTTGCCTGATTTTGCTGGAAAAACAAGCACTGCGTTCAGATATTGTACTAATGCATTCACAAAAACTCTCTATCTCTCTCTCTTCTCCCCCCCCTCCTCCCCCCCCAGGTTATGTATGGGACATTGGTGGCTATCCTAGTTTTACGCTCCGTGTATATAGTATTATGGTAAGTAAGGACTTAACTACAAGAGATGGTTGCAGCTTAAGCAAGAATCACAGAGGGAGAAATTTGAAATGCTGATTTTCTGATCACGCTCAGCCTTCTGTTGCTCCACTGCCTGGGAATTGGCTCCGTGGGTTGGGTAACCAGGAAAAAAAGTATAGCCTAGAGCTCCACTATTTGTCGGATCCCAGCTGCAGAATTAAAATGGGAGCGCGGTTTTGCTAGACGAGCGAGTGGCAAAGTGCCAGGGAGCTTCTCCGTCCAGATGTTGCTGCTTTGATGCTGTATACAGGTAGACTTATAACAGTTCATTTAGTGACTATTCAAGTTACAATGGCACTGAAAAAAGGAACTTTTATTATTTATTTATTATTCATATTTCTATGCCGCCCGCTCTCCGAGGACTCTGGGGCGGCTTACACCAAAGACAGTATATACTAAATAGCATGTTGCCCCCAATAATCTGGGTCCTCATTTTACCCACCTCGGAAGGATGGAAGGCTGAGTCAACCTTGAGCCCTTGGTGAGATTTGATCCGCTGATCTGCTGAACTAGCAGTCAGCTGAAGTAGCTGCAGTACTTACGACCACAATGGGGACCGAAATTTCCACCATACAGAATACAGGGCGTCCTTGACTTAAAACCATTCGTTTAGTTGACCATTCGAAGTTTCAAGCACCACTGACAAAAATGACTTAGGACCGTTTTTCACACTTACGACCGGTGCAGCCTCCCCCACGGTCACATGATCAAAATTTCGGGCGCTTGGCAACTGACTCGTACTTATGACGGTTGCAGTGTCCCGTGGTCTCGTGATCCCCTCTTGCGACCTCCTGACAAGCGAAGTCAATGGGGAAGTCGGATTCACTTAAGAACCGGGCTACTAATTTAACGACGGCAGCGATTCACTTAACAAATGTGGCAAGAAAAGTTGTAAAACGGGTGAAGCTCACTTAATAAATCTTTCACTTAACATAAAGTTTGAACTCAATTGTGGTCGTAAGTTGCAGAATATAAGTAAATCTTCCCATTTTATCAGTGGTTAGAAAATAGAGGTAGAAATTAGAAGATAAAAAGATTACCATGTATAAGAAAACGATGAAATATCATTATATATAAGTAAACAATATATTATCACTATTGATTATCATTAACATCATCATTAATATCATCTTGTTTAAGCAAATTGACTCAGACAATACACTGTTTGTTAAGCACTTATGTTGATTAAAGAAATGTACAAATAAATTTTTTTAAAAAATATTCCCAAGGAAGACCTGCCCCAAAATAGCAGAATAACATAAAGTCCAAAGTTGCTTTGAGAAATTTAATCTGATCCTTCCTTCCTCCCTTCCTTCCTTCCTTCCTTCCAGGGTTTATCCTTGGCTCCGAGGATTGGGATATACATCCCTGACTGTTTTTTTGTTGGGCTTCCTCCTTTGGAACGTAGACAACATTTTCTGCGAGAAATTGCGGTAGGTGAATTTTGGGGGGCGGGATGCTTTTCCGTCCTCTTCTGGCTGGTAGAGTTCAGCCCGTTTCCTCCCGTCCGTCTTGAGTCCGGCGTGAAAAAATCCGGACCGTCCCGCCAAGTCAAGCTAAGCTGATTTGTAGCCCCTGCCCATCCACCAGTATCTAGTTCAGGGGTATCAAACTCGATTTCATTGAGGGCCGCGTCAGGGTTGTGGTTGACCTCGGGGTGGGTGTGTGGCCACTGTGGGCGTGGCCCGCTTGACGTCACTCGTGTCAGTGGTGCCCTGTGGCGGCCCGAGCGCTCTGCCAACGAGAACGACCTCCATTTTTGGCTGCGATGGCCTCCTGCAACCCTCTGCCAGCGAAAACGGAGCTCAGGGAGCTGCATGTGGCCCTTCCAAGCTCCGTTTTCGGCTGCCTCCTGCAACCCTCTGCCAGCGAAAACGGAGCTCAGGGAGCTGCATGTGGCCCTTCCAAGCTCCGTTTTCGGCTGCGGCTGCCTCCTGCAACCCTCTGCCAGTGAAAACGGAGCTCAGGGAGCTGCATGTGGCCCTTCCAAGCTCCGTTTCCGGCTGCCTCCTGCAACCCTCTGCCAGTGAAAATGGAGCTCAGGGAGCTGCATGTGGCCCTTCCAAGCTCCGTTTTCGGCTGCGGCTGCCTCCTGCAACCCTCTGCCAGTGAAAACGGAGCTCAGGGAGCTGCATGTGGCCCTTCCAAGCTCCGTTTTCGGCTGCCTCCTGCAACCCTCTGCCAGCGAAAATGGAGCTCAGGGAGCTGCATGTGGCCCTTCCAAGCTCCGTTTCCGGCTGCCTCCTGCAACCCTCTGCCAGTGAAAATGGAGCTCAGGTGGGATCGTATGCGGCTCTCCCGAGCTCCACTTTCACTGGCAGGGGCACCGCGGGCTGGTCTTTGCTGTTTCCAGGGCAGCCCCGTGAGCCAGATCTAAGCACCCCACGGGTTGGATCCGGCCCCCGGGTCTCGAGTTTGACACCCCTGATCTAATCAAACCACCAGTCAGCCCTAAATTGACGCTAGATCAAGAGTTCAAACGGAATTCGAACTCGATCGCTTGTGGGGAACGTAAGGATTCCAGGCTAATTCCTCTCTCGACTCCGCCTCCAAGCTCCGCCTCTACATCTTGCGGTTCTCTGGAAAGGGAAACGCACAAAAGAATTGCTCTCGTAGCCAGGTGTGGCTGGATATGGGGAAATGGCGGCAATTCTCACACCGGGGCTTCGGCTCTCCTCTTGGAGAGCTGGTTATCTGTAGGCTTCTGGGTGCTAATGATCACTGATCAGGATAACGAAAACCCAGGATTTATCGGGCACCATCGTGACAGAATGGATTTCTGCCCATCGAGTAAGGACATCCAGTAAAAAGGCTGTTGAGAGTCCCCTTCCTCGGGAGGTTCCTGGGGCCTGGCCTAGGAGACTGGTCTTGATGGAAGCCTTCACCTTTGCACCCCCTCTTCTCACAGAGGTCAGCGTGACCCCGACTCTTCTGTCTCAGCTCAGAGGTTACAAGAGGAACGCCCATCTGTATCTTGCACGGCAGTATTTTGGAAATGTTTATTCCCAATTTCATGCTTAGATAATCTCTTCCTTCCATCCTTATTCCCCTCCTCTCCTCTCCTCCCCTCCCCTTCCCTCCCCTCCTCCCTTCCTCTCATCCTCTCATCCTATCCCCCTTCCCCTCTCCCCTCCCTTCCCCTCCCCTCTCCTTCTCTATTCCTTCCTCTCCTCTCCTCCTCCCCCCTTCCCTCCCCTCCTCCCTTTCTCTCATCCTATTCCCCTCTCCCCTCCCCTTCCCTCCTCCTCCTTCTCCTCCCCTCTCCTTCTCTATTCCTTCCCCTCCTCTCCTCTCCTTCCCTCCTCTCCTCCCTTCCTCTCATCCTATCCCCCTTCCCCTCTCCCCTCCCCTTCCTTCCTCCTCCTTCGCCTCCCCGCTCCTTCTCTATTCCTTCCCCTCCTCTCCTCCTCCCCCTTCCCTCCCCTCCTCCCTTCCTCTCATCCTATCCCCCTTCCCCTCTCCCCCCTCCCCTTCCCTCCGCCTCCTTCTCCCCTCTCCTTCTCTATTCCTTTCCCTCTCTCCTCTCCCCTCCACTTTCCTCCTCTCCCCCTTCCTCTCATCCTATCCCCCTTCCCCTCTCGCCTCCCCTTCCTTCCTCCCCTCCCTTCCCTTCCCCTCTCCTCTCCTTCTATATCCCTTCCCCTCTCTCCTCTCCTTTCCTCCTCTCCTCCCCTCCTCTTATCCTCTCCCCCCTCCCCTTCCCTCCTCCTCCTTCGCCTCCCCTCTCCTTCTCTATTCCTTCTCCTCCTTCCCTCCCCTCCTCCCTTCCTCTCATCCTATCCCCCTTCCCCTCTCCCCCCTTCCCTCCGCCTCCTTCTCCCCTCTCCTTCTCTATTCCTTCCCGTCTCTCCTTCCCTCCTCTCCTCCTTCCCCTCCTCCTCCCCCTATCTCCTCTCTTATATACCTTCCCCTCTCTCCTCTCCCTTCCCCTTTCCTCCTCTCCTCCTTCCCCCTTTCCTCCCCCCTCCCCTCCTCTCCTTTTATATCCCTTCCCTTCCCGTCTCCCCTCCTCTCCTCCTTCCCCTCTCTCCACCCCTCTCCTCTCCTCTCCTCTCCCTTTCCCCCCTCCCCTTTCCTCCATAGAGCAGGGGCCAGTGCAAAAAAGCCCTGTCTTCCAGTCCCCTGTTAGGCTCACAGGATCTGCAGCATGTCCATTCTGCTGTATCTGGTTGAATGGGGAGATCGCTCTTGGAAAAGGTGATCCCTCGGGTATGGGAATGAGGAGTCTCCTACCGTGTTTCCCCGAAAATAAGACCTCCCCTGATAATAAGCCCAATCGGGCTTTTGCGTGCCTGCGCTAAAATAAGCCTCCCCTCGAAAATAAGCCCTCCCTGAAAATATTTAAACTCAGAGATGGAAATCAGGTAAGACGGAAGGAGGAGCCCCATCTTGCTCCACGTGCCCCAAAATAATGAGACCTCCCCAAAAATAAGGCCGAGCGCTTGTTTCGGGGTTCAAAAAAATATAAGACAGGGTCTTATTTTCGGGGAAACACGGTAGATTTCCTGGAAGCCTCTTGTCCTCAGAGAGGAAGGACCCTTGGACAGCTTTACCCGGTTCTCATCTTGAAGCCCTCTTTATTTTCTCCGTAACCAGAGGATGCGACTCCTGAAAGGCTGTTTTTACAGATTCTCAAAGAAGCCAGGATCCATTTGCTTGGACGTCTCTTGGTCTTTACGGGAGGCTGGGATCTAGAAGGGGGCTGGGGAAGCCAATGGGTGACCTTGGCGATGGTGTCTCTCCACAGGGGCGTACGTGAGAGGCTGCCTCCGCTCGTGGGCGTTGTCACGCAGTTTCATGCTTGGTGGCACATCTTCACGGGACTCGGTTCCTACCTTCACATCCTGTTCAGGTATCTTCCCTTCCCTTTCCCAGGGGTTTCGGGGGGAAAACGTCCTGCTCAAAAGTAGAGCCGATCAGTCTCAGCTGTTAAACAGGAACAACCAGGAACGAAGACGTTAGCGCAGTAGCATCGTCGTATCTTTGGGAAGACGAGGGATTTACACAAATGGATGGATGGATGGATGGACATTGGAGAAGGAAGGAAGGATGGATGAATATTGAAGAAGGAAGAATGGATGGATGGATGGATGGATGGACATTGGAGAGGGAAGGAAAGGAAGGAAGATGGATATTAGAGAGGGAAGAAAGGAAGATGGAGGGAAGAAAGGAAAGGGAAGGAAGGAAGGAAGGAAGGAAGGAAGGAAGGAAGGAAGGAAGGACATTGGAAAGGGAAGGAAATGAATGGATGGATGGATGGATGGATGGATGGACGGACATTGGAGAAGGAAAGGAAGGAAGGAAGGAAGGAAGGAAGGAAGGAAGGATGGACGGACATTGGAAAGGGAAGGAAGATGGATGGATGGATGGATGGATTAACATTGGAGAAGGAAGGAAGGATGGATGGATGGATGGATGGATGGATGGACAGACATTGGAGAAGGAAGGATGGATGGATGGATGAACATTGGAGAAGAAAGAATGGATGGATGGATGGATGATGGACATTGGAGAGGGAAGGAAAGGAAGGATAGATGGATGGATGGGACATTGAGGAAGGAAGAATGGATGGATGGATGGATGGACATTGGAGGGGAAGGAAGGAAGGAAAAATAGAAGAATGGGAAAGAAGGAAGGAAGGTGGATGGACAGCTGGATGGATGGACATTAGCGAGGAAGGGAGGAAAGGAAGAAAGGTGGAAGGATGGATGGACAGACATTAGGGAAGGGAGGGAGGGAGGGAGGGAGGGAGGGAGGGAAGGAAGGAAGGAAGGAAGGAAGGAAGGAAGGAAGGAAGGAAGGAAGGAAGGAAGGAAGGAAGGAAGGATCACAGCCTCCTAGCTGGCCCCAGAGGTGGAGCTGAGTTCCAAAGAGATCCAGGCAGTGATGTTGACTCAAACTGATTTATCCCAAATGTTTCTTTTAATCTTCTTTTCTCCCCTTTCTCTTCTGATTCTAGTTTATATTCCCGGACACTTTACCTGAAATACAGGCCAAAGGTCAAGGTAAGTTGCTAATGACTCTGTCCTGCGGGCTTCTCTTCCCGCCCCCCCCCCCCCGGCCCCCTCCCCAAAATAGCTAAAGGCTTCTTAGGGCAAACCTAAAGTAGTGGCTAAGTGATTTTTTATTTTTTTATTTTTTGTTTATTGTAGAGAAAAACAAAAGTTACGGCCTACATAAAATCTGCAGAGTCAATATAACATTGAGAAGAAGATATCAGGGCTTCCTGCATCCAGAAACCTATTTATTTTTTCTTTGATTGCATTGAAAGATTTATCGCATTTCATGCTTGTGTTTGCTATGCCAACATTTGCAGAATAAACAGTGTCTGTTTTCCCCCTGAGAATTTGTCGAGTTGTAATTTCACCACAAAGCCCCTCAAAGACGTCTGAGAAAGAGGAGAAGGCGATAGGTAGATCCCAGCTATGCAATTTTGATTGATCACTATAGCCAGTCCTCGGCTTACGACCACAAGAGAGCCCAAAATTTCTGTGGCTAAACGAAACATTTGCTAAGTGAATTTTGCCCCATTTTACGACTTTTCTTGCCCTGGTTGTTAAGTGAATCACTGCAGTTGTTACACGAGTCAAACACGGTTGTTAAGTGAATCCGGCCTCCCCACTGACTATGGTCGCAAAAGGGGATCGGGTGACCCCCCTGGACACTGCAACCGTCATAAATATGAGTCAGTGACCGAATTTTGATCACGTTACTATGGGGATGCTGCAATGGTTGTAAGTGTGAAAAACGGTCGTAAATCGCTTTTTTCAGTGCCGTTGTAATTTCCAGTGGTCACTAAATGAACGGTTGTAAGTCAAGGACTACTGTAACTCCAAATCAGACTCTAGTTTGGTTAAGGCAGCCTACGAAAATGCCTTTAGCGTCCTGAGGCTTTAAAGTAATGGAATTCTTTTAAAATTTGAAGTACAGGTGAGTCCTCGGCTTACGACCGTTCATTTTTGTGACTGAAGCTAGAACGGCCCTGAAAAAAAAGGAACTTAGGACCATTTTTCACACTTAACGCCCATTGCAGCATTCCGATGTGATCAAAATTCAGACACTTGGCAACCCCGACTCATATTTACGACGGTCGCAGTGCCCTGATCCGCTTTTGCGACTTTCTCGACCAGCAATGGGAGGGAAGCCAGATTCACTTAACAACTGTGTGACGACTTCGGCGATCGACTTAACACGGGTGGCAAAAAGAGGTCGTAAAATGGGGCAAACAGCCTCGGTGGCGCAGCAGATTAAAGCGCTGTTAAGTAACACCAGCTGCCTGCAATTACTGTACGTTCAAATCTCACCAGGCTCAAGGTTGACTCAGCCTTCCATCCTTTCGAGGTAGGTAAAATGAGGACCCGGATTGTGGGGGCAATAAGCTGACTTTGTATAAAAAAGAACACCGCTTGGGGGCGGGGGCGAAAGCCCTACTAATACCTGTATACCCTACTACAGGTATACAGGTATACAGGTATAATATCTGTATACCCTACTACAGGTATATACAAAAGTATGAAGGCTATTGCTTAACGCATTGTAAGCCTCCCTGAGTCTCCAGAAAAGGGCGGCATATAAATCGAACCAATAAATAAATAAATAAATAAATAAATAAATAAATAAATAAATAAATAAATAAATAAATAAATAAATAAATAAATAAATAAATAAATTTAACCACAGTCTCCCTTAGCAGCAGGAATTTGGGGCTCAATTGTGGTCGCAAGTCGAGGACTACCTCTATTTTCCCCACTGGTAAACATACTTACGTTTTATCTAAGAAATGTCAGGCTTTAATTCACCAGGGATCTTAAATTTGATCTGCATCGGTGCGTTTTATATCAGGGGTTCTCCAACCTTGGCAATTTGAAGCCTGGCGGACTTCAAATTCCCAGAATTCCCCAGCCAGCTTTGCAAAGCTGGCTGGGGAATTCTGGGAATTTGAAGTCCGCCAGGCTTCAAATTTGCAAAGCTGGCTGGGGAATTCTGGGAATTTGAAGTCCGCCGGGCTTCAAATTTGCAAAGCTGGCTGGGGAATTCTGGGAATTTGAAGTCCGCCGGGCTTCAAATTGCCAAGGTTGGAGACCCCTGCTATCTATGACGGAAACATCACTGTCTCGTCCATATATTTGATGAGCGAATGACAGGTCTCCTTGAGACATGGAAGCCATCCAAACATCTGCTGTGCAGATTTCTCTTTGTCTCGTTTGATTGATTGATATTTCCTGGCCTCTTTTGAATCAGGTATTATCCAGGGAAGCTCTTCCTTAGTATGTCAGACACAGACTTCACGTCCTTCGCTGGAAGCAAAGCTTTATTATTTCAAAAACAGGCTGAGAATTTTTTTAAAAAATCAGCCCGTTAAAAATAAATCCCTACCGCCGACGTTTTATTCACTAGCCTTTCTTTCAGGAGCAAAAAGGGAGCATACAGATAAGCCCTCGACTTAACAGCTGTCCGTTTAGGGACCGCTCAAAAACTAGAACTGGAAAAAAAAACTAGAATCAATCGGGATAAAAGCCGGGAAGGGACTCTCAGAGGTCTTCTAGTCCAACCTCCAAGCAGGAGATCCTATACTGTTTCAGACAAGTGGCTGCCCAGTCTTAAACTTGTCAAGAGTGGACCCCCCCCCCTCCTGACTGAGAGCATTGATACAAACAGAAATACAAGATACAACTTTTCTGGTTTTCCCAAAGCTGTCAGGGTTTCCCTGAAATTATGTTTTATTTTATTACTTTATTGTTTAGTTTTGTTTTATTACTTTACTTTACTTTACTTTACTTTACTTTACTTTACTTTACTTTACTTTACCTTACCTTACCTTACCTTACCTTACCTTACCTTACCTTACCTTACCTTACCTTACCTTACCTTACCATGAATGAATGAATGAATGAATGAATGAATGAATGAATGAATGAATGAGGTGGAAGGGACCTTGGAGGTCTTCTAGTCCAGCCCTCTGCTCAAGCAGGAGAACCTATACCATTTCAGGCAAGTGACTGTCCAATCTCTTCTTAAAAACTTCCAGTGAGGGAGCGCTCACGATTTCTGGTGGCAAGCTGTTCCACTGGTTAATCGTCCTCACTGTGAGGAAGTTTCTCCTTCATTCCAGATTGTTTCTTTCGTTGATTAGTTTCCTACCTTTGTACAAATCATCTCACCTCACTTTACCTTACCTTACCTTACTATGAATGAATGAATGAATGAATGAATGAATGAATGAATGAATGAATGTGTCAGGTTTCGAGGTCGTCTCAAATAAATTGCATTTCAAACAAAGTCTTTGAAGAAAAACTCCTATTTATTAAGCCCGACATTCTAACTCCGACTCCATCGAAGCCAACACTGACTTCCAGACCTAAAACCCTCCCTTTCTGTTCCCCACTCCCCTGCACTCATTGGCCATCTTCCAAGTCATTCTATCCCTAATCTACTGCTCCAGCTCAAAGGAATTTCCCTCCTCCCATCCCATCTCCTAGGGGATATTATCTCCAGGGAAAATAAGTAGGTGAAAAGTCAAACGTCCCTTTCCAGACGCCTCTGCTTCTCCTTCTTATGTCAGCACTAGAGTAAATGCAGCTTGAAGTGCTGACAGAATGAATGAATGAATGAATGAATGAATGAATGAATGAATGAATGAATGAATGAATGAATGAATGAGCGAGGTGGAAGGGACCTTGGAGGTCGTCTAGTCCAGCCCCCTGCTTATGTAGGAGACCCTAGATCAGTGGGTCTCAACCTTCCTAATGCCACGACCCTTTAATACAGTTCCTCATGTTGTGGTGAGGGAGCGCCCACAATTTCTGGTGGCAAGCTGTTCCACTGGTTAATCGTCCTCCCTGTGAGGAAGTTTCTCCTTCATTCCAGGTTGCTTCTTTCGTTGATGAGCTTCCAGCCATTGTACCAACCATCTCGCCTTACCTTACCTTACCATACGATTTATTTGCTGCCCATCTCATTTTGAAGCAACTCTGCATGGCTCATAGCATTAAAAGCATTAAAACCGTAAAAAGATAAATGTTTCTAAAATAATAAAACAGAAATTACAATCAAGAGTAAAATTATAATTTAAAAAAATGGGGAGTGGGAGGGAGCAGAGTGTGAAGTGGGGGGGGGTTAGGATGGCCTCTTAATTCGTCAACCATCTCCAGCGTGGTATTTCATCATGGGGGGCCCCCACAAGCTTTCTGGCAGAGGCAGGACTTCAGGTCCTTAGAGAAGGTCAAAGGGCAGGAGCCCAGGCCCTTCCTCCTGGACACCCCCCCAGCCAAAAAGTCTTTGACTGACAGGGCCCGCAGCATCCCTCCTCAGATGGCGAGGGTGGGGCAGTCCAGCCCCGTTGGGATGAGGTGGAAATTGAAGTTGATAGGTTGTCTTTTCCTTACTGAAACATTTTTGCTTTCTTCGAAGAGAATTCGGCCCTTAAGAGAAGAATAGAAGGGACCTTGGAGGTCTTCTAGTCCAACCCCCTGCTCAAGCAGGAAAACATAGGCCGTTTCAGACATTTTCAATCTTTTCTTAAAAACCTCCAGTGATGGAGCACCCCACAATTTCTGGAGGCAAGTCCTTCCACCGATGGGTTGTTCAAACAGTCAGGAAATTCCTCCTTAATTCCAGGTTGCGAATAGAATAGAATAGAATAGAATAGAATAGAATAGAATAGAATAGAATAGAATAGAATAGAATAGAATAGAATAGAATAGAATAGAATAGAATAGAATAGAATAGAATAGAACAGAACAGAACAGAACAGAACAGAACAGAACAGAAGGGAAAGAAAAGAAGAGAAGAGAAGAAGAGAAGAATATAGAATATTCTACATTAGAATTAGAAATAGAATAGAATAGGATAAAATTAAGAATAGAATAGAGAATAGAATAGAATAGACTTAAAAATAGAATACAGTAGAATTAAAACTTGAATAGAATTTAGAATAGAGAATAGAATAGAATAGACTTAAAAATAGAATACAGTAGAATTAAAACTTGAATAGAATTTAGAATAGAATAGAACAGAACAGAACAGAACAGAACAAATGGGAAAGAAAAGAAGAGAAGAGGAGAAGAATATAGAATATTCTACATTAGAATTAGAAATAGAATAGAATAGACTTAAAAATAGAATACAATAGAATTAAGACTAGAATAGACTACAGTAGAATTTAGAATAGAATAGAATAGAATAGAATAGAACAGAACAGAACAGAACAGAACAGAACAGAACAAATGGGAAAGAAAAGAAGAGAAGAATATAGAATATTCTACATTAGAATTAGAAATAGAATAGAATAGGATAAAATTAAGAATAGAATAGAGAATAGAATAGAATAGACTTAAAAATAGAATACAGTAGAATTAAAACTTGAATAGAATTTAGAATAGAATAGAATAGAACAGAACAGAACAGAACAGAACAAATGGGAAAGAAAAGAAGAGAAGAGGAGAAGAATATAGAATATTCTACATTAGAATTAGAAATAGAATAGAATAGACTTAAAAATAGAATACAATAGAATTAAGACTAGAATAGACTACAGTAGAATTTAGAATAGAATAGAATAGAATAGAAGAAATAGGAAAGAAGAGAAGAGAATAACAGAGTTGGAAGGGACCTTGGAGATCTTCTAGTCCAACCCCTGCCCAGGCAGGAAACCCTATACCACTTCAGACAAAGGGTTATCTAACATCTTCTTTAAAACTCCCAGTGTTGGAGAATTCACAACTTCTGGTGGCAAGTCGTTCCACTGGTTAATTGTTCTCACTGTCAGGAAATTTCTCCTTAGTTCTAAGTTGCTTCTCTCCTTGGTTGATTTCCACCCATTGCTTCTTGTTCTACCCTCAGGTAGACTACTCAGGTAGTCCCTTCCCTTCAGGTGCTTTGGAGAATAGCTTGACTCCCTCTTCCTTGGGGCAGCCCCTGAGATATTGGAAGGCTGCTATCATGTCTCCCCTAGTCCTTCCCTTCATTAAACTAGCCATGCCCAGTTCTTGCAACCGTTTTTCATATGTTTTAAGCCTCCAGTCCCCTAATCCTCTTTGTTGCTCTTCTCTGCACTCTTTCTAGCATCTCCACATCTGTTTTATAACTTGGCAACCGAAACAGGATGCAATATTCCAAGTGGGGCCTTACCAAGGCCTTACCTGTTAATGCTTGTCCCAAATGTGTTTTTTTCAAAAGGCAACTGGACTTTCTTGGGGTTTTTTTCCTCAATAACATTTCGCTTCTCATCCAAGAAGCTTCTTCGGTTCTTCAGTCAGAAGTGAAGAAGCTCCTTGGAGGAGAAGCGAAACGTCTTCAAGGGAAAAAAACCCCAAGAAATTCCGGTTGCCTTTTGAAAAAAAAAAAACACCTTTGGGATAAATCAACACCTGGCTAAGTCTCATTTTGTTTTGGGAATGTTTACTGCATTCCACCTAACTGTATACAGGCAGTCCTCGACTTAACAACGTTTTGGTTAGTGACCGTTCAAAGTTACAACGGCACTGAAAAATGTGACTTACGACCGTTTTTCACAGTTAACGGCCCCCCGTGGTCACCTGATGCAAATTCAGACATTTGGCAAATGGCTTATATTTATGACGGCTGCAGTGTCCCAGGGTCACGCCACCCCCTTTTGTGACCTCCAGACAAGCAAAGTCAGTGAGGAAGCCGGATTCACTTAACAACCGTGTGACTAATTTTAACACTTAACAACTGGGGCAAGAAAAGTTGTAAAATGGGGCAAACCTCACTTAACGTCTGTCTGGCTTTAGAAATGGACATTTTGGCCTTACTGAGTCCTGGTGGCGCAGTGGTTAGAATGCGGTACTGCAGGCTAACTCACTGTTCAATGCCAGGAGTTTGATTCTGACCGGCTCAAGGTTGACTCAGCCTTCCATCCTTCCGTGGTCGGTAAAATGAGGACCCAGGTTGTTGGGAGCAAGAGGCTGACTCTGTAAACTACTTAGAGAGGGCTAGGAAGCGCCAGTGGTGGGTTGCTCCTGGTTCGCACCGGTTCGCAAGAACCGGTAGTAAAACTTTGTAGTAGTCCAGAGAACCGGTAATAACATTGGCTGGCCACGCCCCCCAAACCGGTCCACGGCCCGGTCGTCGCTCGCTTACCCCGCCCATCTCAAAAGAGGCTTTTTTTAAAAAAACTTTTAAAAGCATTTTTTCTACAACCTCTTCAGCCAAAAAAATGCTTTTAAAAGTTTTTTTAAAAAAGCCTCTGATGATCGCGCGGCTCAGCTGGGATCGTCAGAGGCTTCTGAAAGCATTTTTGGCCGAAGAGGTTGTAGGAAAAAAAAATGCCTTTAAAAGCCTCTGGCGATCCCAGCTGACTTGCCTGATCGTCAGAGGCTTCTAAAAGCATTTTTTTCCTGCAACCTCTTAAGGTTGTAGAAAAAATGCTTTTAAAAGTTTTTTTTTAAAAAAAGTTGGCCACGCCCACCCAGTCACATTACCCCCACCACCAAGCCACGCCCACAAAATAAGCCACGCCCACAGAACCGGTAGTAAAAAAATTTTAGAACCCACCCCTGCGTGAAGCAGGGTGCTATTGCTATTGTGGTCATAAGTCAACCTGTATTAACTTTCTCCTCCCTCGGGTAAAAACCTAACGTGCATAAGGCATATAGAAATAAGTACAGGTAGTCCTCTACTTACGACCACAATTGAATCCAACGTTTCTATTGCTAAGCGAGACAGTTGTTGAGTGAATTTTGCCCCATTTTACAACCTTTCTCGCCGCAGTTGTTAAGTTCGTAACCCGGTTGTTAAGCGAATCTGGCTTCCCCCATTGACTTTGCTTGACAGAACGTCGCAAAAGGGGATCATTTCACCCCGGGACACTGCGACCGTCATAAATATGAACCAGTCCGAATTTTGATCATGTGACCAGGGGGATGATGCAACGGTCTTAAGTGTGAAAACCCAGTCATAAGTCACTTTTTTCAGTGCCATAGTAACTTTCAATGGTCACTAAATTAACTGTTGTAAGTCGAGGACTATCTGTAATTACTGCAGATCAGTAATAACCAGATGAGCTTCTTCAGGGAGGTAAGTTAGTTTCCTTCCTTCCTTCCTTCCTTCCTTCCTTCCTTCCTTCCTTCCTTCCTTCCTTCCTTCCTTCCTTCCTTCCTTCCTTCCTTCCTTCCTTCCTGTTAGAATGTAGTATTGCAGGCTAACTCTGCCCACTGCCAACAGTTCGATCTTAACCAGCTCAGAGTTAATTGAGCCTTCCATCTTTCCAAGGCTGGTAAAATAGTCAGTTGACGCCATCGCTGACTATTGGGGGCGAATTGCTGGCCCCCACGGAGAGGGCGCGCAACTTGGGCGTCCTCCTGGATTCACGGCTGTCTTTAGAAGAGCGCTTGACAGCCGTGACCGGGAGGATTTTTCATCAGGTTCGCCTGATTCGCCAGTTGCGTCCCTTTCTGGATCGGGACTCCCTGCACACAGTCACTCATGCCCTCATCACCTCCCGCCTGGACTATTGTAACGCTCTCTACATGGGGCTCCCCTTGAGGAGCACCCGGAGGCTCCAACTGGCGCAGAGTGCGGCCGCGCGGATAGTTATGGGAGCAACATGGCGCTCCCGTGTAACACCTCTCCTGCGCGAGCTGCACTGGCTCCCGGTGGTCTTCCGGGTGCGCTTCAAGGTTTTGGTTACCACCTTTAGAGCGCTCCATGGCTTAGGGCCTGGTTATTTACGGGACTGCCTGCTACCACCAATAGCCTCCCACCGGCCGGTACGCTCCCATGGAGAGGGGCTCCTCCGGGTGCCGTCAGCCAAGCAGTGTCGACTGGCGGTCCCCAGGGGGAGGGCCTTCTCTGTGGGGGCACCCACTATCTGGAACAAGCTCCCCCCGGAGATACGGAAGATCCTGGATCTGCGCACTTTCCACCGTGCTCTTAAGACCCTCCTATTCCAGCAAGCCGGCCTGGCCTAATTTTCTCCCCTCTCTTTTAAATTTTTAAATTGAAATTTTAATTTGTTTTAAATTATTGGGATTTTTAATTGTCTTGGGCTAAATTATTTAATTTGGTTTTAATTATGTTTCTAACTTTTGTATTTATGTATTTTATTTTGTGCCTGTTCACTGCCCTGAGTTCTTCGGGAGTAGGGCGGTATACAAATTTAATAAAACAAACAAACATAAAACAAAATGAGGAACCAGATTGTTGGGGGACTCTGTAAACCGCTTAGAGAGGGCTGGAAAGCACTGTGAAGCGGTATATAAGTCTGAAGTGCTATTGCCCTTCCTTCCTTCCTTCCTTCCTTCCTTCCTTCCTTCCTTCCTTCCTTCCTTCCTTCCTTCCTTCCTTCCTTCCTTCCTTCCTTCCTTCCTTCCTTCCTTCCTTCCTTCCTTTTCTTGACCCAACAGCCTAAGAATGTTTTTTTCTCTTTCTTTTCCATAGTTTATCTTCGGGATTTGGCCTGTTCTCTTAGTAGAATCAACGAAGAAGCCATAAGAAGCAACAGGTCGAAGAAGAAACAGCCAGCATCCTTCGGAGACCTTTGACTGCCCCATGGGAAGCTCTCGGCACTACAAAAAAAAAAAAGAATTTTCTTCTTCCTTTTCTTTCACCGCTCCCGGAACGACGAAGAATCCCAACGGATCACGCGCCCTCACGCCTACCGACACCCTCGATGGGAGGTTTTCCACGTATTTGCATTGTTAAAGCTGTGCCAAAATATTTGGGTTTTCTTCTGAAGGCCTGGTTTGGGGTGGCAATGCTTTTTTCCCCCCGGAGTCATTCCTGAAGTTTTCGTTGGACTGATCAAGATATCCGCTCCGTGGTTGGGACCAAATGGCTTCTGTCTGGATCATGAAACTGGTGGGATCCCAAAAGAGGACCCATTGCTCCATTTAATGTCCTAAGGCAGGGGTCTCCCAACCTTAGCGACTTTTAAGACTTGTGGACTTCAACTCCCAGAAGACCTCATCATTCCTGAAGAATCCTGGGAGTTGAGGTCCACAAGTCTTAAAAGTTGCCAAGATGACCACCTTTGCTCTAAGGGACTCAGTATTTGTTTCCTCATTAGTGTTATCTTGTAATAAGTAGGGGGAACGTTGGGGTCCTTGGTTTTCTCTGGGCTCGGTTGTTTCCTTGCAGACGTTTCATGACCCAACTAGGTAACCTCATCAGTGCTAGAAGAGAGTGGGGTCTGTGGAGAGATGGAGGAGGAGGAGTGGTGTAGGGTCCTTGGTGTTCTCTGAGCTCGGTTGTTTCCTTGCAGACGTTTCATGACCCAACTAGGTAACCTCATCAGTGCTAGAAGAGAGTGGGGTCTGTGGAGAGATGGAGGAGGAGGAGTGGTGTAGGGTCCTTGGTGTTCTTTGAGCTCGGTTGTTTCCTTGCAGACGTTTCATGACCCAACTAGGTAACTTCATCAGTGTAGGGGGAGTAGGGGGAACTACCGTATTTTTCGGAGTATAAGATGCATCTTTTTCCCCCCAAAAAAGAGGGTGAAAATCTGGATGCGTCTTATACTCCGAATGTAGCCCCGCCCAGCCTCTCAAACGGAGGTTTCAGAGGCTGAAAAAAAGCCTCCGAAACAAAGCTTCAGGAAAAAAAAGCCTCCGAAACAAAACTTCAGGAAAAAAAAGCCTCCAAAACAAAGCTTCAGAAAAAAAAGCCTCCGAAACAGAGCTTCAGAAAAAAAGCCTCTGAACAAAGTTTCAGAGGCTTTTTTTTCTGAAGCTCTGTTTCGGAGGCTTTCAGAGGCAGAAAAAAAAAGCAACAGCTGATTGGGGGTATCCCGGGAGGCCGATCCACCCGCCAGTCAGCTTTTTTCTTCTTTCCCTCCCCAAAAACTAAGATGCGTCTTATACTCCCAAAAATACGGTGTATCCGTTGAACTCATGGCAAGCTGTTAGCCCACACTTCCAGGGAGCGTCAGGATGGAGAAAATTGCTTTTGACGAAGCCCCGTGGATTAATTTAGCCGCTTCAAAGTGAGGCTCTATGGGTGCTCTGGGCCTCCCCAAAAGCCCCTCTGGCTGGAAATTCCAGAAATTGGTGTCCCAACAGGAAAGTCCTCAGGTTGTGAAAGCTTAGATGTGCATAGAGGTAAGGTAAAAGTGCCTCTTCTTTTCACTCGGTGTGTATGTGTGACTGTGCCATTTCCAATCCACGATGTTACCCGCTAATTCCAGGCAGTCCTAGACTTACAAACATCCAAAGTTACAACAGCAACAGAAAAAAAACCACTTACCGTCTTAAAAGCAACCTTTAATTGGGTGGATTGCCGACTCTCAGGCTTACGACCGTTTTTTTCACGTTGATGTCCATTGCAGCATTAACCCAGAGTCACGTGATCGAAATTTGGACACTGGGCAACCAAGCCTGTATTTATGACTGTTGCACCGTTCTGGGGGTCCCATGGTCGCCGCTTGTGACCTTCCCATCCATCTTCCGACAAGCAAAGAGGGGAAAGTTGGATTCACTTAACGACCACCCGATTCATTTAACGGCCACAGCGATTTGCTTAATATCGGTGGCCAAAATGGTTGTGAAATGACGTGCCAACTCACAACCGTTGCCGTACTTTGGGGCTCAGTTGTGGTTGTAAGTCAAGGACTGCCTGCAAAGGCCTTGCTCAGTTAGTACATTCGCCTACTCATGCCAGGCTCCAAATCCTACCTCCAAATCTTCCTCCAACTCTTAATTTGCAAAGAAGTTGGCTCTTTCTCAGCCAGGTGCCATAGAGGACTTAACCTGCAGCTGTTTCTCAACCTTGCAAGGTGTGTGGACTTCAACTCCCAGAATTCCCCAGCCAGCATGCATCAGCTTCGCAATTATTGTCGTCATTTGCCCCAAAGCTGCCTTTTTTTCCCCAAGAGGCAACTGGACTTTCTGGTTTTTCTTTGAAGACGTTTCTCTTCTCATTCAAGAAGCTTCTTCAGTTTGCCTCTTGAAAAAAAAAACAAAAAACCCACCTTTGGGACAGCCATGACCTGGATGACTTAAGAATCTCCGTAGATTATGGTCGTTAATTGTTTATTACATTACAGGCAGTCCTCAAATTACAACCATTCATTTAGTGACCATTCAAAGTTACAACGGCACTGAGGAAAAAAATGGCTTATGACCGTTTTTCACAGTTACGACCGCTGCGATCAATTTTGTGATCAAAATTCAGACACTTGGCAACGGTTTGATACTTAAGACTGTTGCATCATCCCCCCGGTCACATGATCAAAATTCGGACGTTTGGCTTCAAAAACCTCCGTTCCGTTTCTCTCTTCCTCCAGCTCTGCACTTAGTCCGGTTGTCCCAGCTTCGTGGCAGCCGCCATGGCTGCCGCTCCCCGCCGCCGACTCACAGAGGGTTCCCTCGGACCTCCGAGGAGCTTGCCTGTTCCTCTTGGTCGTCCGAGGCGCCCCTCTTTCTTCCCCATCCCTGCAGGACGGTTCCGGTCCGAAGACCCATCAGCAGCGGTTCAGCAGCCGGGGTTTTTGCGGCGCTCATCAGAGCCCGCTATTTCCCTGACTGTCTCGCCGCGACACCAAACCGGAAGTCAAATGGACGTTTGGCAACTGGTTCATATTTATGGTGGCCGCAGTGTCCCGGGGTCACGTGATCCCCTTTTACGACTGTCTGACAAACAAAAGCCGGGGGGGGGAGAGCCAGATTCACTTAACAACCAGGTGACTAACTAAATCAACTGAAGGGGATTCACTTAACAATGGTGGCAGGACATGTCGTAAAACGGGGCAAAACTCTTTAACAGATTCTCACTTGACAACATACATTGTGGTCGTAAGTTGAAGACTACCTTCCCTTCCAGCTTTGCGGCTGGAGAATTCTGGGAGTTGAAGTCCAGCCACCTTCAAGTTGCCAAAGGTTGAGAACAAGTATTCTGATTGAAATGAATGAATCTCTGAGTGATGTTAGACAGGCCTAAAGACAGCTTGAAGGTAAGCAGAGGAAGTTAGGTTGGTTCTGTGCCCCTCGCTCTCAGCCAACCTGTCCTGCTCAGGTATTACCCCTTAGCCACCTGCCAATCAAGTTAGCCTCTCTTAAGATGGGACAGGACATTTCCCTCTTTGTAGGGAAATCTGTGCATCTCTAGTTGACAGAATAACAGAGCCGGAAGGGACCTTGGAGGTCTTCTAGTCCAACCCCCTGTTCAAGCAAGAAACCCTACACCTGTAATGACGAACCTATGACACACGTGCCAGAGCTGGCATGCAGAGCCCTCTCTGTCGGCATGCACACCGTCGCCAGCTGTTCTTTTTGTTTCCGGCGTGCCAGCCAGCTGGTCTTTGCTGACGCCGGGGCACCGGAAAATGCCCAAAAAACGGGACATTTTTCAGGCTGTTTTTCAAGCGGTTTTTGGCCCAAAAATGGCCGGAAAACAGCCCGAAAAACAACCTGAAAATGGCCCAAAAACAGTCCGGAAAATGGCCAAAAACCAGGCCATTTTCCGGCCCGTTTTCAGGCAAAAAACAGCCCGAAAAACAGTCTGAAAACGGCCTGAAAAACAGCCCGAGAATGGCCCAAAAACAGGCAGGCATGTGCCGGCTGGCCGGTCTTCAGATTTCCGGTGCTTTGGCATGCGCGAAAACCAGCTGGCCAATGTGCATGCCGGAAATCCAAAGATCAGCTGACCGTGCGCACTGGCCAGCTAGTGTTTGGGTTTCCGGTGCTCCAGTGCACGCACAGTGTTCCGGTTTGGGCACTCGGTGCCGAAAAGATTCGCCATCACTGCCCTACACCATTCCGGACGAATGGCCGTCCAGTCTCTTCTTAAAAACCTCCAGTGATGGAGCACCCACAACTTCTCAAGGCCTGGCCTTTTTCCAAGAAATATGCTCCAAATTCCTCCCAAATAAGGCTTTCTTGAAGGCAGACAGTTCTCCAGGAAGAGGTGTGTTCTGTCCCCCTTCCCCACACAGGCAAACACACAACCAGGCACGCCTGCCAAGATTTTATTAAGCAATCAGACTAGAACTAGATAAGAGTTTTGGCAATAAACTGCGAAATGCCTGCCAAGTCAGTTTTCACTCACAATCAGCGAGAGAGAGTTTATCCTCAGTCCGGTCCAGTAGCAAAAAGTAATCCATGAAGCAAGAGTTAGCCAAGGTCCAATCCAAATATGCACAAGCCAGATTTCAGGTAACACGATGTGACTCTCAGGTTTTTAACTTTGACCGTCACAAAGCCTGAAGAGCAATCACACCCACTTTTATTCCTGGTGGGGTGTGGCTCAGTGACTCAGCTCAATCTCTGGCCCTCCCACGCCTCTTTTCGTTGCTGCGCACACTTCTCCCTCCGACGCTGCCTGGGATCAAGCCAGGATTCATCATCCTCGCTCCCTATCAATTGGTGCTCCGATATGCCTTCCTCCTGGCACATCCCAGGCTGTTCCTTCTGGCCTTCGGATGGAACCTGAGGCATTGCCAGAGAGGAGGGTCCTGGAGAGGGAGGCCTTATCAGTTCCTCCCCATCACCTTCTGAATCCTCTTCCTCTGTTAGGACAGGCTCGGGAGTTGGGGTCACAACAAGGTGCCTGATTTCAGGGTATAAATCAGGGGTGTCCAACCTTGGCAACTTGAAGACTTAGTCGACTTCAACTTGTGGACTTCAACACACATGTGCTTGCGGAGGAATTCTGGAAGTTGGAAGTCCACAAGTCTTAAAAGCTGCCAAGGTTGGACACCCCTCGTATAAGGGATGCTTTGCAGATCTTTTAATCTCTAACCACTCCAGCTGCTAAATTCCAGCTTTTCCTCCTGGGAATTTTCCTAGCTGTGCTCCGTGGGATGTTCAGAGCAAGCAAGCTGGTTACTCATCCAATCTACCTTTTTTTTTTTTTTTGCTAGTATTTTGCCAGGTCTGCCTTCCAGGAACAATTAGCTACGATTAGACGAACTTTTACAAGCTGCCTAATCCTTCGCTTTCTTGGCCAAAGAGCCATCAATCTTCTAGAGCTGCTCTTATTTATTTTTATTTTTATTTTTAAAAAAAGCGGTGGTGGTTGTACATTATTCAGCGGCCGGCTTCTCGGCAAGTCTTCCGTTTGGAATCGTGCAACGTTACACCTAGCATGAGAAGAGTTTCCTCCTGAAATCCCAGCCCCTTAATGTGGTGGGAAGAATATACATTGCACTGAATTTATGCTGAAACAGCACAAAGTATATATATATAATGTTAATCACATGCCTTAACAATACACCGGTGTTAATTTTTTTTTTAAAGCGAAATGCACTACTTAACATGGAGGTATTAAATTCTTCTCTTTGGCCTCACTAAATTGCTATTTCTATTCCTGGGCTGAAAGAGTTGGATTTTGGAGGCTTGCTAATTTCTCCTTACGTCCCCTCCGTCCCCAAAAACAGTTACTCTTAAGACAAGACGAAATATTGCATATCTTTTTATCATTTCGACCCCCTAATTTACTACTAAAATACCAGACGTTAAGCCCTGGAATCAATACTAGGAAGAATGCAGCTAGTCCTCGACTTACAACCATTAATTTAAAGCAGGCGTCACCAACCTTTCAGACTTCGGGGACCACTAAATTCATAATTTTAAATCCCATGGACCAGTAATATGTCTTTTTTAAAAAAGATAAATGGTATTTAGTGCAATATAAAAAAATGCAAATAATTTTTCTGCAGACCACCAAAATTTTCCCAAAGGCCACCCGTGGTCCACGGGCCACTGGTTGGTGACACTGATTTAGAGACCGTCCGAAGTTATGACGGTCCTGAAAAGTGACTGATGACCGTTTTTCACACTTAACGACCGTTACAGCATCCTCGCGGTCCCGTGATCAAAATACAGACCAGGCTTGGCCACTGACTCATATTTATGACGGTCCCGGGGTCACGCGATCCCCTTTTATGACCTTCTGATGAGGAAAGTCAACGGGGGGGAGCCAGATTCGCTTAACAACCGCGCGTGACTCGCTTAAACAGCCCCAGCGATTCGCTTAACAAACGCGGCAAGAAAAGTCGCGTAAAACGGGGCAAAAAACTCACTTAACAACCGTCTTGCTTTAGCAACCGAAATCGTGGGCTCAATTTTGGTTGTAAGTCGAGGACTACCTGTACGATGTTGTATGCCATAACAATGCATTAGTGTGCGTGTTTTTTTTAAATAAAAATAAAAATAAAATGCACTACTTAGCTGGGAAGTATGAAATTCTTCTATCTGGCCTCACTAAATTGTCATTTGCATTCCTTGAGAGAAAGGGTTCAGTTTTTGAAGCTTGCCAATTTCTCCCTACAACTATTCTGCCCCCCCCCCAAATTCTTAAAGACAAGAGGAAATATTGCTTATCTTCTATAATTTGGACACCCCTCTCTAATTTGCTCTCAAATATCAGACCCTGGGATGGCCTAGCTAGGAAGGGTACAGACTTAACGACCGTTCAAAGTTAAAGCGGCACTGAAAAAGTTATTTTTGACCGCTTTTCACACTTAACGGCCGTTTTAGCATTCCCCCATGGTCACGTGATCAAAACTGAAATGCTTGGCAACTGGCATGTACTTATGACGGTTGCGTTGTGTTCTGTTGATTCACCTTTTTGGGACTTTCTGACTTGGCCAAGTCAAATGGGGAAGACCGATTCATTTAACGACCGTGAACAAAACGTACCCCAAATTTGAAATTTGCTGGGTGAATCGAAAAGAAGGGCTCGCGATTTCTGGGAATTGGTTTTGCAAAATTGGATCCTTCCCCCCCTTTTGAGTGTGATTCATTATTATTATTATTTTTTAATTAGCCGAATCCCAGCCCTTCCAGGTAGGCCAAGTCAGGAAAACAACAAGTGATGTGGCTACAGTGACCTGATCTTAAAATATTTTCTTTCCTTCCTCGTATATACAAAGGAAAATCAAGGCCCTGCAATCTTGAGTTTCTTTCTAATGTCCTCTTTTTATCCTGGCCTTAAATCATGTTTTGCTAACTGGCTACAGTTCTTCTCCCAACATCAAAATTTGATCGTTGGGTCCCTGCTAAGGTATAATCGTTTGATTGGATGAGAGGGAAAATCCAATCAATTGTGGCTGATGCAATAAACCATGGTTAAACTAACCACAATCTAGCTTCCCTTCTTCCCCTGCCCTTGTTTAACACGGCTCCTTACTTCCAAAACTTTTTTGAGAATCTGTTCGGTACCTAGCATTACTCCACTGGATTCCTTTCAGTGGTGTTTCATTAAAATAATGTCAGCAGCAACAACAAATTATTTGAGAATCGGGGGAAAAAGTATCTTGCAGATGCTTTAAACCAAGATGGAACATCTCGGCTTACAAAGACCGCAGAGATTGGAGCCTGGTTCATTTGTTTGGCTGAATTGCTTACATTGCTCCGTGTTCCCTCCGTACTTAACTCCAAATGTTTAAGGATTCTGCACCTAGGAGTACCAAGCTGCAGTTGGAAATCAAGAACATTTGACTATTTGGTATTATGGTTTTGGTGGAAACCTGACTACATTTCCTGGGTGGCCATCAGACCATAAAAAACACCAAGGAGCTCCAAGATCCGTGATGGCGAATCTATGGCACGCGTGCCACAAGTGACACGTGGAGCCATATCTGTGGTCACGCAAGCCTCGCCCTAGCTCAGCTCCAGCACGCATGTGCGTGCCGGCCACCTGATTTTTGGCTGTTCCGGGCCCACTGGAAGTTGGGAAACAGGCCGTTTCCGGCCTCCAGAGGTCCTCTTGGGGATGGGGAAGGCAGTTTTCGCCCTCCCCAGCCTCCAAGAAAGTCTCTGGAGCCTGGGGAGGGCGAAAAACGGGCCTACCAGGCCCACCGTGCCATCATGTGCCAAAAGCGCGGGGGGGGGAGCGCATGCATGCACACACAGGGGCGGGGTGTATTATGGGTGTGGGCATGCACGCACGCAAACCCCCCATGTTCCCCCCATTTTTGGCCCACAACGGCCAAAAGCTTAGCCATCACTGTCTTAGACAGGCCTGAATTCAGTGTTTCTCAACCTCAGAACTTGAAGCTGGGTGGACTTCAACTCCCAGAATTCCCATTTTTGCCCACTAGAGGCGGATCTCCCGCCTCACCATCAGGAGGCCGTGAGTTCGATCCTAGGTAGAGGCGGATATTTGTCTCTCTCTCTCTCTCTGGGCCACACTGAGAATCTATCTGCTGAACAAAACTCCACTCTGGAACAGGAAGGGCATCCGGCCAATAAAACACTCTGCTAGCTTCAGTCAGTGGCCCAGACTCCCCCCCCCACCGCAAGGGATTATGGGGTCGTTAAACGGAGATGATGATGACATGTAAAAGATGAAATAGAAAAAAATGTTCCTCGGTGCTCCACTTGGTTCTGCCAGATGTTCTCCGAGGCCCCAACCAGATGTTCAGAGAAAGACTTCACCTATGCAGCCTTGACCCTTGGCTCCTGCGATGAGGCAGACCCTCCAAACCCGGTTAAATATATCCTTGCCTGTTTCTGTTTAATTCGAATTTCATTTCTAAGCTTCTAAATTGTAACCTGTCTCGGAGGACACTTAACTACCTTCTAACTAGCATTATTTTGGGGGGGGAAACTTTAATGCACTGATTCTGAAATGCTTTACTTTGAAATGTTGAGTGTGGACTCAGCCTGCCAAAAGGAATAAGTGATATCTTTTTATATTATTATTATTATTATTATTGTTATTATTATGGAAAGCAACCAAACCAAATGGTTTTGATTTAATCTAGGGTTGGGGATTTTTTTTTTGTTTTTCTTCTCCTATTTTACAGGTAAATTTACCGCGGCTGAATTATGGAAACAGCCGCTAACTGTATATAAAGACCAATGTAATAAATAACGTCGAAGCATTTTGATATCTATTGAAATACGTCTAATGGGGTTCGTTTGTCTCACCCGTATCTCTAGATAACAAGATACATAAAGGCAATCTATAATGGCTTATTGAAGAATAATGTATTTAATCCATTTATTCTTAAAGCACTAATTAATGAATTTATAGCTAATCCATACCATTAAAGGACTTTTGTTTTGTAATTAAAATTTCACCGTGGTCTCTCTCTTTTTTTTTTTTTTTTTTTTTTTTTCCCCTTCAAACTCTCTCGAAACTTCAGCAACTTTTAAGACTTCTGGACGTCAATTCCCAGAATTCATTCCATTCGGGCTGAGGAATTCTGGGAGCTGAAGTCCACAAGTCGTAAAAGCTGTCTAACAAACATACATTATCCTGTATTTTAATATAAGCTTCATTGCACTGACGGTACACTCCTTATACAACAAACTGAAGTTTTACTAGCCACCCAGAGTTCTGAAAATGAAATTGGTGGGCCGTAGAACTTTACAATACAGGTAGACCTCGACTTACGACGAGTCGTTTCACAACCATTCAAAGTTATGACAGACTTCCCCAAAGTTGCTTATGACCCAATGTCAAAGTTAGGAGAGCCTCACATGCACCCTATGTGTATATGTGTTGCACACATCCCTGCAATCATATTTTTGACCGTTGAAGCACCTGCTTCACTTTTATGGCCGTTCGCAACATCCGACGGTCATGTGACTGAGATATTCAAAAATGTTGTTTTGGTTCCCAGTTTTTACTTCGGGTTTACGTACACGGAGTAAAATGGAGTCACTTAAAGACAACGGCGTTCGCTTAGTAAACCCAGTGTTAGCTTAACAACTGAAGCGTTCATTTAACGGCCACTGCGGAAATGTCCCCCAAAAATTGGATCTGGCTTACGTTATGCTTCAACTTACGACCGCAATAACGTATGGCTCAATTATGGTTGTAAATCGAGGACTACCTATATGTACATAAAATATATATCTAGATGCAACAGCACGACTCGGGGGGTGGGGGGAAACACGGAGGTTAGTATAGAAAAGCACTACAGATAATGCTCGACTTACAACAGTTCGTTTAATGACTTCAAAGTTACAACGCCACTTAAAAAGGGACTTAACCGTTTTTCACGCTTATGACCATTGCAGCGGTCATGTGATTTACATGCATTTGCTTAACAACTGGTTCATGGTTATGACGGTTGCAGTATCCCAGGGGTGGGTGGGTGTCAGGTGATTCCCCTTTTGCTAACCTTCCAACAAGCAAAGTCATTGTTGGAAGAGTCACTTAACAACCGGCCGGCTAATTTGAGAACTGCAGCAATTCTCTTAATAAATGCAGCGAGAAAAGTCGTAAAACGAGACAAAAATTCACTTAACAAATGTTTCGCTTAACGACAGAACTTTGGGCCACAATTGCGGTCATTAAGTCCAGGACTATCTGTATATTCAGTTTCCTGGTTTTACTCCAGGAGTAAAAACATTCTTAAGTGAAGGCCGCCATCTGCTGGGAAGAAAGTTTGAATTTTGCCATCCTAAAGGCGTGGTAGTGCCAAGCTCGGATCTGCTCACACCAATGCAGCTAGTCCTCAATATACAGCCTCAACTTCAGTGGTGAAATCTAAAATTTGTTACTACCGGTTCTGTGGGCGTGGCTTGGTGGGGGGAGGGGTAATGTGACTGGGTGGGCATGGCCAACTTTTTTTTTTTTTTTTTACTTTTAAAAGCATTTTTTTACAATCTCTTCGGCCTTAGAGGTTGTAGAAAAAATGGTTTTAAAAGAAAAAAAGCCTCTGCCGATCAGGCAACTCAGCTGGGATCGTCAGAGGTTTTTAAAAGCATTTTTTTCCTACAACCTCTTCGGCCGAACGATCCGAGCCGCACGATCATCAGAGGTTTTTTTTTTTTACTTTTAAAAGCATTTTTTCTGCCGAAGAGGTTGTAGAAAAAATGCTTTTAAAAATAATTTTAAAAAAGCTTCTGATGATCGCACGGCTCAGCTGGGCATCGTCAGAGGCTTTTAAAAGCATTTTAAATTTTTTTGCTACCGGTTCTCCAAACCACCTGCCTCCATTGCTACCGGATCAGGCAATCCGGTCCGAACCGGGAGCATTTCACCCCTGCTCAACTTAACACGTGAAGTACTAGTACTGTTTTACAAAACCCTAGTAAGGCCACACCTGGAATATTGCAACCAATTTTGGTCACCATGCTGCAAAAAAAGATGTTGAGACTTTGGAAAAACTGCAGAGAAGAGCAACTAAGAGGATCAAAGGCCTGGAAACTAAAACATACGAAGAACAGCTGCAGGATTTATGTTTGGCCAGTCTAAAGAAAAGAAGGACAATATTCCAGTATTTGAGGGTCAAAATATTCTCCAAAGCACCAGAGGGCAGGACAAGAAGCAACAGGTGGAAACTAATCAAGGAGAGAAGCAACCTGGAATTAAGGAGAAACTTCCTAACAGTGAGGATAATTAGCCAGTGGAACAACTTGCCACCAGAAGTTGTGGGTGCTTCATCACTGGAGGTTTTTAAGAAGAAATTGGACAGCCATTTGTCTTGGAATGGTAATGGGTTTCCTGCCTGAGCAGGGGGTTGGACTAGAAGACCTCCAAGGTCCCCTCCAACTCTGGTATTCTGTTCCGTTCTGATTCATATTTATGACGGTCACAGTGTCCCAAGGGTCATGTGATCCCCTTTTGCGACCTTCTGACAAGCAAAATCAATGGGAAGCCAGATTCATTTAACAACCGTGTTCCTAACTTAACGACTGCAGAGATTCACTTGTGGCAAGAAATACTGTAAAATGGGACAAAAATCCAGTGGTGAAATCTAAATTTGTTACTACCGGTTCTGTGGGCATGGCTTGGTGGTGGTGGTGGGAGGGGTAATGTGACTGGGTGGGCGTGGCCAATTTTATTTTTTTTTACTTTTAAAACCATTTTTTCTACAACCTCTTCGGCAAAAAGGTTGTAGAAAAAATGCTTTTAAAAGCCTCTGACGATCCCAGCTGAGCCGTGCGATCATCAGAGGCTTTTTTTTTTAACTTTTAAAAGCATTTTTTCTGCCGAAGAGGTTTGTAGAAAAGAAAAAATGCTTTTAGAAATTAAAAAAAAAAAGCCTCTGGTGATTGTGCGGCTCAGCTGGGCATGGGTGAGGGGTCAGGGATTTTTGCTACCGGTTCTCCGAACCACCTGCCTCCATCGCTACCGGATCGGGTGATCCGGTCCGAACCGGGAGCATTAAGTGCAAAAATCACTTAACAACTGTCTCACTACACAACAGAAATTTGGGGCTACATTGTCGTATTTTGCAGCCCCTCTATTGGCTTCACGCCAGCTTTGGGAGGCAAATGAATTTTGCCTGGTTTTTAATTTAACCCACCCACTCTTTTATGGCTTGGCACCAGATTACCATCAGGTGCCAAGATTACCATCTCCCACCGGAATTGGCACCCAACCGTTTCAATCATGCTGGGAAAAGCAGCTTGGAGGTCAGGTGGTTTTGGTGTCATTGACCTGAACTTTGGAAATGGCCGTTCCCAAGAAGTGGCTCTGGTGACCTTCCGGAAACTTCTTATAATAAAGAGTTGTTTTTTTTTCTAGAGGGTGTTTGGCAGATTGAATCTTAAAAGTTGTAGAAGCTCAAGGCTGCAATTCTTCATCCTGATCAGAATTTCTAGTGGCCAGGAGGGGCAGTAGGAGATCCTTCATAGCTCTCTATATGGTGCCTTGCATCTTTTCTTTTCTTTTCTTTTCTTTTCTTTTCTTTTCTTTTCTTTTCTTTTTTTTCTTTTCTTCTTCTTTCTTTTCTCTTTTTTCTTTTCTCTTTTCTCTTTTCTCTTTTCTTTTTTTCTTTCTTTTCTTTCTTTTTCTTTCTTTTCCCTTTTCTTTTTTTCTTTCTTTTTCTTTCTTTCTTCCCTCCATCCCTCTCTCCCTTCCTTCCCTTCTTCCCTTCCTTCCTTCCTTTTCGTTCTTCTTCTTTCCCTCCCTTTTTTCTTTCCTTCCAAAATCCACCTCATTTACTTACTTCCTCTCACTTTCTTTAGCTCTTCTTCCCTTTCTTCCTTTCTTCCTTCCTTCCCTCCCTTCCTTTTTATCTCTCTCCCACCCATCTCCTTCTTTCCTTTCCTCTCTCTCTTTTTCTGTCTTTCCTTCCACTTCTTTCCTTTATTTTATTTGATTTATTTGATTTGATTTCTATACCACCCTACTCCCAAAGGACTCAGGGCAGTGCACAGCCAAACAATAAAACACATACATACAAAATTTAAAAGTAGAATTAAAATCAAATTAAATAGTTTTGGCCCAGACAAATTAAAACCCCAAACTATTTAAAACCATTTTTAAAATTTGAATATATAAAAACTAAAAGATATTTAAAAATTAAAAATCTTTTATAAAAGAGGGAGAAGATTAGGCCAGGCCCGCCTGGTGAAATAATAAGCTCTTAGAGCGCGGCGGAAGGTGCGCAGATCCGGATCCTCCGTATCCCGTATTTCCTTCTTTTGTTCCTCCCTCCCTCCCTCCCCCCTCTTTATCTCTATCTCTTTCCTCCTTTCACCCATCTCCTTCCTTCCTCTCTCTCTCTCTCTCCTCTCTTTTCTTTTTTCTGTCTCTTTCATTTTCCTTCCTCCCTCCTCTTCCTTCCTTCTTTCCCTTCTTTCCTTTCTTCTCTCCTTCCCTCCCTCCCTCCCTCTGCCTTTTTGCTCACCTGTGAATATTCTGTTTCTTTGTTCAGGTGAGGAAATATCTCTGTAACAATGACCCAATGGCCAGGTAACTGAGCCAGACCCTCCTGCTTATCAGTGATCGTTGTGGGGTAAATACCAGGAGGAAGAAATATTAGGTATGTTTGCTGCCTTGAATTATTTATAAAAATAACTATAAAAATGAATAAATAATACTCACTGATTTTTTTTTTATTTGATTTATATGCTGCCCTTCTCCGGAGACTCAGGGCGGCTTACAATGCGTTAAGCAATAGCCTTCATACTTTTGTATATTTATACAAAGTCAGCTTATTGCCCCCCACAAACTGGGTCCTCAATTTACCTACCTTAGAAAGGATGGAAGGCTGAGTCAACCTTGAGCCTGGTGAGATTCGAACTTACAGTAATTGCAGACAGCTGGTGTTAATCACAATGCTATCAGTCTGCTGAGCCACCAGGCCCCTTGGATTTGAACCTTATAACTT